TGCTATTGCTATTATCTCATAATATTTCATAACATAATGCCTCTAAATTACAAATACTTATTCAGGAGCAATTGGCATCAAAATACTTAGCCTACTTGTCGTCTGCTGGTTTCCTCCTAAAATCAGATTTTAATTTGAAAATACTTGTCTCTTTTTCTGAGTTCTCATTAGCTTCAGTGTACTACATTATGGTATTTCTGGCAGGATATATCTGTTTTGAAATAATGCTAAAGGCTGGTACTCAGCATTATAGATTTAGAAGATTGCTTTCAAATATTTTGTATGAAGGAAGAAATTTGAAACTCAGTAGAGTGGTAAAAATAAGCAATCAGATGTGTATTTTGTTTTTCTAGTTTTGAATCAAACTGGATGAGGAAATTGATATTCTAGTTGAATCCTTCAGTTGTTTTGAATGTTTCTACACCATATTGAAAATATATGCCAATTACTCCAAAGCATTTCTTTCAAGAAGAAAATTGACAAGTTTATTTGTTCATAGCAGTATATCAAAATGAGAGAACTATGGGAAGGTGTTGCTTGTCTAAAATATACAAACACCTGCTTCCAAAAAGAATACGAAATGTTAATAACTACTTGAACTGGGCAGCCATCTGGATTCATGTGATTTTAGACTTATTGCCATAATCTTAAAACTATATTTTCCTAGTTGCATGTCCTTCTTCTACAATCTCAGGAAAAGACACCATTTCTAATCAGTTGCCAAATATGTTAAATGAGGTATTGCTATTTCAAACCCAAGTTCATCATCACTAAAAAACTTATAAGAATATTAAACCACTGAAAATAATTATGTCATTTTTTCTCACCCAGTTACAATCATTGCAAGAAACCTGGTACCTTTCTATTCATACATGTGTAGCTTTGATGTAAAGCATAAATGTTGTATATTATGTTATCTTTATGGGCAGGCAAACCATCAACTTCAGGGATTGATAAACTACAGGCATTCCCCATTCTTTCGTTTGAGTGGGCCCCAAATCATTGCTGCCTAGAGAAATAAAATAACAGAAAATAGAATTGGAAGGGACCTTGGAGGTCTTCTAGTCCAACCCCCTGCTCAAGCATATACCGTTTCAGACAATCTCCACCCACAACATATGGAGACAACTCGTTCCACTGGTTAATTGTTCTGTCAGGAAATTTCTCCTTTATTCTAGATTAGTTCTTTCCTTGATTAGTTTCCATCCATTGCTTCTTGTCCTTCCTTCAGGTGCTCTGGAGAATACATTGATCCTCTCTTTCTTGTGGCAGCCCCTCAAGTATTGGAACACTGCTATCATGTCACCCCTACTCCTCCTTTTCATTAAACTAGACATACCCAATTCCCACAACTGTTCTTCATTGACTTGTTAATTTGCTAAAATCTGTTTTAATTTTGCTACGTCTTCAAGCCTCAAGTGTGACTTCTAATAACATCAACTCCACATTTTCTTCAGATCTCAAATACTTTTAAAAGACATCTTCTGAATATAAAGTTTGCCCATATAGATTTATAGACTTTATAGATCTGCTCTGTCAGTTGTGTTTGTGATACTTTTATACTGGCAAATAGGAGTTCTCTTACAATTTTGTTGCCAATTTTTTTTAATATCTCATCAGAAAAAGTGATACATTTCAGGTACATTTTCTAAATATAAAGTGAAGGTTGTGTCACTGAGCCATAACCATTCTGATGTGTTGTGCGTGATACAATTTTGCCTTGAATTGTGACATGAGTGGCATATAAATTTAGTAGTAATAAGGCATACATGGATTGTAGCATCATGACAATGCCATGCAGTGGCCAATGGTGGTTCAGGTGTAAATTTGAGGAAAGTTTATGCTGGTATAAATGAACAATCAAGGAGTTTTAGGTTCATGTATTCCTCCTTCCCCTATATGTAAGTATTTACTCTTTGAGATGGCCCACAATCAGCAATTTTCATTGAAACAGCTTAAGAAGGAAGGCAGTGTGATAGACAAAGGAATGAGAAAGAATATGTGATTCTGTAAGATATGTCAAGAATCAGCGTTTTTCATATAGCCTGGGTTGTCATGCACAATGGCGCTTTTAGAAGAGATATCTTGCCTTCCTTCCTTTGCCTCAATCATAATCAGTGAAACATTGCTTCCAAACCATTTTACACTTTGCTACCAATAATGTAAAAGAACCTACCTTCCATATTTCATTGCCAAATGGAAGATATTTATTCTTGGTAATGAGGCTTCTGTTAACTTAAACATGAAATAGTGATAAAAACATAACATTACAAAAGGTAAAGTGCATTTGTTATCATTGTATCCTAGCTGCGTGTAGAGTATTATGTATTATGCACGTATTATGCACGTAGAGTAGTATAGCAGGTTTGAGCTTGAATGTCTTATTCCCCAAAGGTTAACTCTTAGATAATAGCCATAAATAAGAGCTAGGAAAACATTTCCGCTTTCTCTTTATTAGAACCATGGGGAACACTGTGCACCACAGAACTACATCACTGCAACTGTTCAGATGTAGCTATCAAAGCAATAACTCATACCGTATTACCATATATTGCCTAGTATGCTACCTACATTACTGCACTTAATTATTGCTAAGTGCAGAGGATGGACTGAGTCTAAGAGTGTTCAGTTTTTGCCAGCAGATATTTCCGCAGAAGCTTCTAAAAAACCCCCCATAGGTTTTCTCCAATGGAATTTAATAAAAAGGTAAATGGTGATAATCTGATCAATGTGAATTGGTCTGCCACTGTTTAAGGGGGACTAACATTGTATTTTTTTCTAATATCAGTATTTCCTCGTTGCTTATCCCTATTTTATTATTTTATTGTTTCAACTTATGCATGGATATATTTTTACTTATTTAACCTGTATGCATTTTATTTAAAAAATACTCTCTGATCATGAATCAATTTCTTTCTACCAATGTTTAGGATATGTATAAAACGTTATAAATTGAAAGCAATTAACCCAAAACCATGCAGTAAGCTTCCTCTTTAATGAAGCTTCATTGATTGGCCTGTTCTAAGAATTCTTGCCCTACTCAGCTTGTTAAAGTCACTGAACAACCTAATGCTGCATAAGGAGAACTTAACCTGTGGAACGGCTTGCTTGCAGAACATATGTGGGTGCTCCATCATTGGAGTTTTTAAATAAGAGATTAGACAGCCATTTGTCCAAAATGATATACTGTAGGATCTCTTGCTTGGGCAGGGGGATTGAACTAGAAGACCTCCAAGGTTCCTTCCAATTCTATGTTCTGTATAACCTTATTTAATCTCATATTAACGGCAATTTTTTGTCCTATGACCTGTCTTTGGGATTGGGAAGTTGCATGTGGTTACAATGGGCAATTTCTGAGATCTATGTGGTCATGCATGGGTTTCCCCCCATCACACGACCAAACAAGATCTGGTGACTTCGCAGCTGGCGCAATTTCCCTCCCTCCTCCTTGCTGCTGTAAGGAGAACCAGAGAAGTAAACATCTTGTTGCAGCTCTTGTTGCTTCTTTCATTGCCGTTGCTTTAAGGACTGGAGTACTGTAATTGCCTTTCTTTTTCATTATAGTATTGTGCTTGTTTGTAAGTATAGGAAATCCTCAACTTATGAGTACAATTGAGCCCCAAATCTCCATGTTGTTAAGTGAGTCACACCCCATTTCATGACCTTTTTATTTTGCCTACATCATTAAGCAAATAACTACAATTAAGTGAATCGTGATCTTTAATTAAATATGGCTTCTTCCATTGACTTTCCTTGTCAGATGCTTCCTAGTAAGATTGCAAATGACAATCCCCAGGGCACAGGGATGCTGCAATCATTGTAAATATATGCTGATTGTGAAGCATCAAGTTTGATCATGTGACTGTGAAGATGCTGCAACAGTCAGAAGTTTGAGAACTGGTCATAAGCCACTTTTTTCAATGCCATTGTAACTATGACCAGTCATTACACAAATATGTTGTAAATGGAAGACTACCTGTACAAAGATAAATGTTTTTTTTTCATTACTGTTTGTTTGCATTTGCCTTGGAATTGCTTGCAGAAATCCTAGCCAGCATCTACGGAAAGAACATCGTTACTGTAAAGTTCCTTTGCATTCTAATATACTGTGTTTCTTCTTAGCATTTACTAATAACCTGCTTCACTGGGTCATAAAAAGAATCAGCAGAGCCTTTACACTCCATCAATCAATCAGATTAGAGGCGGAAAGGACCTTAGAGGTCTTCTGCTTCAACCCCCTGTTCAAGCAGGAGACCCTATAGCTTTGCTCATTGTGTGAATTTATTCAAGAAGTCACTAGACTTAAATTACAGTGATGATGTAATGGGGGTACCATTAAATGATCCTATACTATTTCAGATAGGTGACTGTCCAATCAAACCTCCAATGATAAAACAACTTTTGAAGGCAAACTGTTCCACTGGTTAATTGTCCTCACAGTTAGGAAGTTTCTCCTTAATTCCAGATTGCTTCTCTCCTTGATTAGTTTCCATCCAGTGTTTCTTGCCTTACCTTCTGGTGCTTTGGAAAATAATAATAATTAAAACATCATTGCTAGCAGTCTTTCCCCCATTTTTTTCTCTCTTCCCAACTTTAAAATCAAAAGCACGCTCCTATTCCCGGGGCTTTGGGAAGGCGGAATTGTCGTTTTGCTTGCGAGGCGGATCTGCCCGCCCAGAGGAAGACACAGTAATGCGGGGGAGGAGGAGGAGAACTGGATGCTGAGCCCGGGACTGCTGGAACGGGCTTCGGCGGGGAGAGACCCTGTCCGATCTCTGCAGAGAAAGCCCTTCTCTCCTCGCCCCGTCCGAGAACAACGCCGCCGGAGCAGTGGCATCTTTTCGCCGCCTCTCGCTTATTGTTCCTCAGGGCTGCACGCGCGTGCGCGCCCTCTCTTTCGCCTCAGCGGGGAGCTAACATGGCTGCGCTCTGCGGCGGACTGGCAGCCCCTTCCGTGCCGCTGCAGAGCCTCGGTTGGCCGTGAGGAGAAGCGCGAGAAGAAGCTCCGTGTCTGGCCTCCCGTGTGGCTGCTGTTGGTACTGCGCTGCCGGCGCCGCGCCCTGCCTCGGCTTTCCGCTCTCCATCCCGCCTCGTTTGGGAGCTGGTCGCAAGAGGGGGTGAAAAATTGCCGCCGCCCGCGCAGGTAAGCAAGGAAGCAGACGGGGCTGGGAGTGGGGGAGAGAGCGACCTAGGACCCAGCCCATCTAGTGCCGACCCTTTTCCTCTCCCCCCTCGGCACTAAATGGGCTGGATAGCTGTGGCTAGAAGAGGGAGGGGGAGGGGGCGTGTGGCTTTGGGAAACGGAAAGGCCTCCTTTCTATCCGTCAGATGCAGGCTTAGCCGCGATTTTAAGTCCCTTAAATAAAACCATCCTGTCCCCGCGGCGAGAAAAGCGATTTAATTCACCAGTGGCTGCAGCGGGGGTGGTCAAGGACTTTTTTTTCTGACGCCCGTGTCTCGTCTCACCCCCTCCCCCCCACCCCCGCCCAGGCTGCCGACCTTGGCCTTGGGAAGAAAAATAACAGGGGTCCTTGGTGCTTTCTGGGTTTGCTTGTTTTCTTGCAGACGTTTCATTACCCTTAACATCGTCAGTGCTAGCAAGGAGCGCTGTTTGCTGTCAGCTTATATTCTAGCATCTTACCTGTCTGTGCGGGTTGGGGATGGTTGAGCTGTTTATTGATGAAAAAATTTCAAAGGTTGCTTCTTTATTTCCTTAGTTCCTGGGCTTGTGAAAGAACAAATGAGAAACCATTTGCCAGTGGAGTTTCTTAAAAAACAACAACCAAGATTTCATACTCATGTCCAGATTCTACACAAAAAAACCCAAATAACAGCAAACACAATAAATGAGTTTTAAACTGAATTATTTTTAACCTATTAATTTACCCATTGTCAGCAAGGTTTCCTAAACCAACCAAGATTTCACCCTCAAACCAGACACGCATGATAACAAAAAATACAGTCAGCTTAAACTAAGTTATTTTTACCTATTTAATACATACAATATAATGTAATGTATAGAAGAACTTAGATTTCATTAAATATTAAAAGAAAAAGCTATAAACCCAGATAGAGAGTGGAAAATCAGCATCAGCAACCCTGATGAAAAGTATTTTCATATTTTTTGTGTGACTTACACTGAGAAAGGTTCTGCAAATAGATTATATGTGTTGTGCCTTACATTAAGGCTTTGTGTGTGCAGGGAAGAATGTTGAAGGAAAGGAGGAAAACACGATTTTTGGGGGGAAAGTTTAATTTTAAAAAAAAGTCAGTTCACTATGGCAGCTATAAACCCTATCTCTCTTTACACATGTTGTATGTGTGGCCATGTAAAGAGGTGGGGTTAAATCATGTAATCATGGATGACAGAATTATTTTTTGACCTTTCCATGAGGATAAATCTGATTCCAAATTAAAAATTGATCATGGTTGGCATGTTGGTTACTGTAATTGCATATAAGAGTATAAATATTCTTTCAGATCTATTCAGCATCAAACAATCTCAAGAATTAGAATTCTTTTGGATAGAAGTATTAAGCCAAATTTGTCCAATCTCTTCTTAAAAACTTTAAGTGATGGAGTACCCACAATTTTTGAAGGCAAACTGATTAATTGTTCTAATTATCAGGAAATTTCTCCTTAGTTCTGAGTTGGTTCTCTCCTTAGTTTCCAGCCATTGCTCCTTGTTCATTCTAATAATTCATTTTGGTAATCCATTTTGGTGGCATGGTTAGGGGAAAAAAGGCAGTCATTGAGAGAAAGTGCGTCTGTCTTAAATTCCTACAAATCGTTATACTAAATCTAGCATTCTGTATTTGTGAGAAACAGGGTTTGTTATTAATACTTTCAGCTTTTCTTGTCTTTTTAAAAAAGTGTAATTTTGGTATGTCTGTCTTTCAGAAGTCTTGATCCTGTTTGGTTTTGCTGGCTAGAAATTATCATCTTGTTTTCGTGGTTTTTTTTTCTATACCTATACATATTTATACCTTATTACAAGGACATTAAAGTGAAAAGTAAGTGTTCATTTATAAGGCAGACAGAGTTCTGGAGTGATATAGAAAATTGATTTCAGTAATCTGACTTTTATTCAGATGCTGATTGTAGAAATGCCTTTTTAAAATTAAATTTTATTTTATTAATAACAAACTTGATCAGTTTTAATATTTTGTTCATGATACAGTTGACTACTATCTGTGCAAAAGATTCTATGAACTATAATTCACATGATTTATGTCTGCTTGCTACAGGGACGTTGATTTCTGGATTATGAAAGACTTTCTTTCAACAAGACTAATTTATCTTTGAAACAATGAACTAAAATAGGACAAAGATTTTAGAGCTAGATTATTTTTAAGCTCCATTTTTTAAAACACTGCACCTTAGCATATGTATTTCAGCAAATATGTGTAGTTTGTTAAAAGTCTAACAACCTTATCTTGCAAGATATTTTCTCCTACTACCTGTTTAGAATAAGGGACTTCCTTATTGTAAAAGTATAAGTTTCTCAGAAAAAAAATTAAAACTAAACTTGTGCCTCAAACATGGGTTCAGTTTTCATTTTGAGTTGGAACAACAGACCATAATTATTAATAGTAATGATACTGTTGGCACTCAGAGTTACGGTTTGGAAAGCTGCATATTCTGTGCTGATAAACACTGAATGCATAATAAGTTGGCTGTGGCAAAATGTTTGTGGCCAGTTGGCCATAGCAAGTTGTTCAAGACCAGTCTTGGTCCTGGAAATAATTCTGTACCTCTGTTAGGATGTTTAAGATTTTGCTACTTACTCCTTTTCAATTGCCGCATTGTGCCAGGATCTGCAGTGAGTTAGCATGTTTATTCTGATTATTCTGATTACCTATAGCTATAGGGGACTCTAATATTGTAAACAAAACATATGTTTTAACAGGTATTCAGAGAAGGAATGTATCTTAAAACGTCAGTATTTTGAGTATAGGAAGTGAAGTGTAATTTTCCAATATCTATTTGATAATAGTTATGCATAAAAACTTAAATATACTTTTGATGTCATAATAGACAACTTTTAAACTTAAAATGTTCACAACTCCATGTGCAAATACAAATGTAGATCAGTTCAGTCATCATTATAGAGTAGAAAAGATTGATAGGCTATCTTTCGTCAGTCACTTTTAAATATAAAACAATAAAAAATAAACAGTAACTGAACAAGAAATTCAATAGATTGGTGGAAATTTTATTTATTTGTTTACTATGAAATTTATATGGCTGCCCATCTCGGGACAGCTTACAATAAAACAAGCAAACAATGTATAGAAAAATATAGTATTTCATTGACTTGCTTGGTACTCACCATCCATAAAGACACCTTATGTGCTTTTCTCTGGTGGCAGAGATATAGATCTGCATATATGTTGCTGGTCAGTATGTCTCTTTCTTATGTTTACAACCATGCCAGATATTCTTTTGGAATCAAAGCACAATAGGTTGATCATATGACCATCTCTTTCCCTTAGCATCATATCTGTTGGTTTGCAATTAGCACACAAAGCAGGATGCTGTCCCTCTAGCCAGCATGGAAATGCAGCAAGGGATGAATTTTGTTTCATTCTGTTCTAGGTGCAGAAAGTTGACAAAAGCACTGTCTTTCACACTCTGCTTGGAAATTGGTGCCTTGTTTCTCATTAGCAGTCATTGCACTCAGAGAAATTGTAATTGTTTATGTTTTGGACAACTAGATGAATATTTAATTAAAAGTCTGAGGCCTAGGCAGGAATTCCTCTTGCAGGGATGAGAGATGCTATTGCACAATATGTTTTAGTTTAATTGGAATCCGTTTGGTTCATAGCCAATAATAGATTGCCATTTAGCTTTAAAGTTAATTCTGTGTTTTGTTTGAGCTTTAGAACATTTACTTCAAGAATATTATTTCAGTATGGTATAAGTTCACTGAGTGATGAATGTTGCTTATTTTATCACTTGGTGTCTTGGGTACTACATATATCTCAAAATAAGGTGGTATCAGATTTAAGGTTTCCTATCCCAAAACAAAAAATAGAATTTTTAAAAAAAACTCCATAAACAAGCACAAAGATTTTGTGCAATGCTCTTTTTCCCCACTGTGTCTACCTATGATTGTTAGTCTCATCTGAAAGCAATCCTAGGATTTAGTTGTTCAACAAAACACTTCATTCAACTTGTGTGTGAGTGTGCTTATTAAATGAGTACACTCCATACATGTAATTCTTAATCTGCAGAATCAAATATATCATGCTGAATTTAAAAAAAATGGATTAGGATTATTATAACTTCTAGGTTGTTATTTTAGTATTCTACTTTTTTCACCTTTAAAAATTAGATTACATCAATTATGGTAGATGCAAATTTGTATGAATAATGGTTTAGTATAGAATTTGGCAACAGTGATAATATATGAATGTCTAATTCCATCTTTCTTAACTGCCAAAATTGAGGATGTCTCAGGATCCAAACATACCAAATGTAACTGAGGGAAAATCAGATGTGTCACAAGATAATCAACAGGACCAGGTGGACAATGCAGAGCAGGTTGTCCGAAAGAAGATTCGACAGAACACACCAAGTCCTAGTAGAAGCAACATACCTGAGGGTAAGCAAAATTATTTCAGTAGAATACTTTTTACCACAAGCAAAATAATTGTCCTGCAAGTTTCCTTTTGCTCTGCACATCTATGCAGCCTTCTTCTGATAAAAGGAACATTACCCTCACCTCAAAAAATCTCAGAAACTACTCACTATGAATGTGTTTTCCAAGAAAATTACCTGGACCTGCATAGGGAATGGAGTAAAGCCTCTTTATTGCAATGGTGGGACCTTGTTGTTTACCTAATTCCTCTATAGAAAAGAATCGTTTCATTAGCCAGATTAAATGCCTTGCCATTTATGTTCCTGGAGGGAAAATTCAACAGTATATACTACCGCAAGGTCCCCTGGGCCCTTCCTCAAACAGGTACTCTTGGACATTCTGTTGCACTGCCCATTTAATCAGCCATAGTGCTCTGAATTAATTCTGCTCCTACTAATTTCTTGTTTGGCTTGGTTAGAATTAAAAAATGCCTGCACAAATGTATAGGGTTTGCTATGATTGTTTGATTATAATTGTTATATGACAGCTTCTGAGATTAATTTTGGCAGCACCTACTGGCAGATTTATCTCTGCCTTGATGGTTGATAATATTATTAATTTCCTGGGGAAGGTGTTTCCTTTTGTTTTTTTCTGACTATATTAGGTTTGATATTTTGGTTTTGATCACAAATTAATTAAACTAAACACATATTTAATATGTACTATGTATACATTAGAATGTTCACTATGATACTGTACAACGTCTCAATAAAAGTTTTTTTTAAGCTAATTAGCAAGCTAATGTCTGGCTAACATAAAACTGCCCAATCTTCAGTCTACCAATCTGGGAGATTTTCTGAATTAAGAACTAAATGCTGATTCTATTTTGCAATCACATTTCTGTTTCATCTTACACAGATGGCCCTTTGTTTATCCTTAATCTCTGTGTGCCACTACTCTTATTCAAAGCATGGATACTATAATGAAAGTAATGATAATCAATACATTGATAAAAATGCCAAATCCAGTCCAAACAACTGTGCAACCAACCATAATAATAATATAATTTTTTTACCCAACATTTCAATTCCCTTTCCTTTGGGGGAGACCTTCATTTTTTTGTGACCATGTTTTTTCAGAAAAGAGATGAAAAATACCCTGTTTCTCCAACAATATGTCCTTCCCCCAATAAGAAGTCCCAGCATGTTTTATAGGCATGAAATGAAATTAAGCCCCTCTCCCCAAATTAAGGCCTATATTAAAACATGCGAAATGGGGGGGAATGGTGGGGGGGGCTTGCCGTTAGGAAGTACTGTTGTGGCACACCCGGATATGGTGCTGCCTGCGTTGACCCTGATACGAAGTGGCCCACCAACGCCGAGGTCAACATCCAAGCCGTCGCCGCCCACCCGCCCGAAGATGCAAGGGGTGGTATTAAGTCACTCCTGAAAAGATGTCCTAGCCATTTTTTTGGGGCTCAAAAAAAAATAAGACCTGGCCTTATATGAGAAACACGGTAGTATGTACATATGCTTACACCTAAGTTTCTTAATGAAAACCACTTTTTCATTTCAAAGGTAGTGAAGTTAATTTCTGTGGATTGAATATGGAAAATTTGAATTGGATTCTGTTAGAACTATATCAACATCATAATTAAAAGCTTCTTTATTATTAATAGCAATAGCAGACTTATATACCACACCACAGTGCTTTATAGCACACTGTGAGTGGTTTATAATGTCAGTATATTCCCTCCAACAATCTGGGTCCTCATTTTACTGGCTTTGGAAGGATGGAAGCCTGAGTTAACCTTGAGCCGGTCAGGATCAAGCTCTTAGCAGTGGGCAGAGTCAGCCTGTAATACTGCATTCCAACCACTGTGCCACCGTGGCTCTTTATAAACTCTTCCTGATACTTAACATGCAGTACTTGGATTGTATTTTCTTTCTAATATCCAAAATATTGGTCCTGATAATGGTACAACATGATCGGTTCTTTGGAATTTTAACACATAAAATACTTCAGACTATACTTAAATTGCTGGATTTAGCTGTATTAATGTTTATAATTTCTTTGTTAGTTTTATAAACCACCATTAGTCCCTCTACTGGGTGACTTTAGGCAAGTCATTCTCTTTCTGCCTAACTTACCTCACAGGATTGCTGTTGTATAGAAAATAGGAGGAGGAAGGTGTGTTAGATACGTTTGCTGCTTTACTTGTAAAAATTCTAAAGGTGGGATATAAAGAAATATGAAGTAAATATTGATAAAGCAGTGGTTGAGTGATTGCTCATTAAGCCCATCTTTTCTCTCCATGTGGCTTCACCCTTATCATTTCATCCCCTGTCAAAATCTAAAACTTTAGGAACTGCTTTGAGAGAAGTTCACAAGAGGCTTAGAACAGGGGATAGCAAAGATAACTACATTAAGAATAAAGGTGATAAAATAATTTGAGTTGAAAGCAAAATGAAACAAAAATAGAGATTTGAATAGGAAAGATTATGTCAGAGTAAAATTGAAAGGAACTATAAAAGTTACTGTCCAAGCAGAGAAAGTTATGAAAAATAATTTAAGTACTGTGAGAATGCTGAAAAATGGTAAGGGTGCTAGTACAGCTGCTTTAACTGATAAAACATTGAACTTTTTTTTTTTTAATAAAGTTTTATTTGGGTTTTTACACATACAAAATACAAGTAAAACATCTTTTTTGAAAATAGCATGGTCCCGGGTTGAACTTCTTTATACAGACACAAAACTCAATTTCATGCTCCTTTTTGTGTTCTATTCCATATCTTATACTAGTCTACATTTTCTATATAGTTTTTCTCCTCATTTAATTTTCTCAATTTTATTTTGATTATCTCATCTCAATTCAAATCATTATATTTATACTTTTGTCTGTTTCAATTTCATATTATCTTTTCTCATTAAACAGATTTTCTCCTGTAGTTACGAATTGGAGTATGACACCTTTATATCTTTGAATTACATCCATTCAACTCTTATTTAAACTTCAATATATACCTTAAGGTTATGACCTTCAATATAATACATAATACATAACTTCCAGTCGAATTCTGCTTGGCACATTCTTATAATACACACTATATTCTTTTTTTAAAAAAAGAAAAAAGATTATAAATATATGTAATTATAAACCCTCATTCCATTCCAATTCAGTTCTTTCATTAATAATCATTAAAATCTTAACATCTTTAACACTTCTTTTCAATTAAATATCATGCTTCCTTAAAGACGCATATAATCTCCATAATTAATTTTTCCCTTACTTCTCTTCACATATGTTTTGTAAATCATTAAATATTCATTTTGTTACATTTATTTATTGACAAGCATTCTACTGAATTACGATAGCTATTTTATTAAACATTTTAATCACACATTGTTTCATATTTTCTAAAATTATTTCTGTTTCCAATATAACAATACCATCTTATGTACCTTTGCAGAATCCCCTTTTCCATTAAATTTTCACCCATCATCTCTAAATAGGCCCTGTTTCTCTATATTTTGCTTCTGTCCTTTATAACTTCTTTTCCTTGTTTTCTTCCCTCTCATCTTCTCCTCCCCCTTTTTATCCCCTTGTCTCTCTACTTCTAATTCTCTCTTCTGCATTTCTCTCTTCTGTTGCTTTCTGATTTTATACTTATTTTTCACGCTATTTTTTTTTTTGGAGTTGTTTTTCCCAATCTTAAACTTTCCATTCTCTTTCCCCCCTTTCATTTTTTCCCCCCACCTAAGATTACTTGTTCATTAAAGATACTTTCTTCTTTGTTACAATCTTATTGTTCTGCAGGCATTTCTTGTTGTTTCTCATAATTCCAAATCTCCATTTCTAAAAACTGAAATACGAAGCCAAAAGAACCTCTCCCTTCTTGTGCATCTTCTTTGTACTTTTTAAGTTCCATTTTCAGTTCTTCTAAAAGTGGAGCCATTTTAAACAGTTTTAAACAACCACCCAATTGATTTTAGTCATTCAAATACAATAACCAAAAATCCAGAAATCATCAAGTAATCCAAATAGTCCAAAGTTATTTCTTCTTATTTCTTTTTCGACTTTCTCTTCCTGGGGTTTTTGTTGCGATAATTCAGTTAGAATGTATCTTTTGGAAGTCTTGTTGAGATTTTGCTGTAAATTCTTTTTAATTCTAGGCAGTCTGCTCCCTTCCAGATCCTGCCCTTTTATTCTTTTTCTCTCCTTTCCTGTTTTCAAAAGCTTTTGATTATCCAGAAATCTTTATTATCCCTTTGACTTTTTATTTTCAGCATTAAATGCCTATTAATGTCAAAGTTGATTTTTTTCCAATTTCTTGCTGAAGTCTCTTAGCTGTCAGTATAGGAAAAGGAGAAAAAAACCCCCAAATCTTTTCCCTTTTCTCTCTGCTTCGCAGCTTAAAAATCTTCTTAGGGAACAATGTTATTGTTTTTTTTTAATAGTTTCAATTCCAGGGTACCTTATTTGTTACTTTTGCTGTTTGACCCAGTCAACCAAAACTTTCTCTTCTTATCTTCCTCCTGCACATTCTTTTCCGGTCGAGTTCTTCTTTGTGGTGGCCATTTCTGACCACCACTACAACCGCCTTCGGGAAAGGGAGTAATGCCAGCTGGGGAGGAGAGATGCGGCTCTCCTCAACCCTGCAGGCAGTCTCCTGCTTCTTCACCACTTCTACGGGGTGGCTTAGCCCCAAAACCAGCCAGCTTGGGGTACTCCAGCGGCGAGCATGGATCGAAACCTCTCAGAGACTGTCTGTCGCCAAAGAAGCTCAAACCGGAAGTCCGTAAAACATTGAACTTTGGATGTACTTCGTTTATGAATGGCAGTGCAGTTTCTTCAACACATGTGATGGTTGTATCTGTGCATGAAGATTGGAAGAATGCCTGTATTGTTTCCTCATACCAAAGATTAATGTAAACATTAGTAATCTAAGTATGTTTAGGAAGGTTCTTGTCTAAATTCCGATCGACCAAATGTGCAAAATTTGAGAAGCGTCAAGTGGCTTTATGCCTGGCAACAATGTGCAGGCCAGATCTGAAATAATTTGATCATAGCTAAAGAGTGGATGAGGATCCAATTGCACAACAAATACATGAAGAAAGTGTGAGTGGGATGAGAGAGAAAAAAAGACCAAGAACATGCTTGTTTGTGGAGTTTATAACACCCTTAAAACTAGAGTAGTGAGAAATTTAAAGAACAAAAGATTGTGAACTACTATGTAGATATGATTAAAAACTAGGATGATTTGCAAAAGCAGAAATGTGTTGACAGGTGTGAATGATGTTGGCATAACAAGATTGGGATAAATTAACTATTATCAGTTAATAAAAAAGAAACATTTTACATAGCATTTCTTAGTTCTCCATGTTGCATAAGGATTCTTTATTTTGAAAGGGAATAGTGATGGGTACATATGTATAATACATGATTATATTACCGCTTCAGGTACTGTATAGCTTGATTGAAATGATCAGATTGTATGTTCAACAAAGTAGGATATTCTTTGCTGAAGCATATTTCCTTGGTCCACAGCTAGCCCTGCTCAGTTTGTGTCAGTGGAGGAACTGATGGATACAGCAAAAGGTGTTACAAACATGGCCTTGGCCCATGAGATTGTTGTCAATGGAGGTTTTCAGATTAAGCCGGTTGACTTGCCAGCAAACAGGTAAGAGGCCTATTATGGGTTGAAAAAATTCTAGAGCTGGGCTATAGTTCATAATCTTAAAGGAAAAGAAACATGACCAGTGGCTCCAAAAGTGAGGTCACTACTGCAGTTAAGAAATAGATTTCCAACATGCTCAAACCAATACTACAGAAGGTTTTTTGTGGAAATCTTCTATAGCCCATTAGACTCAATCTTAAAGAGAGCCTATTTTTCTTTTATGGAAGAATACCCATGGAAACTTTTAAGAGCAATAGAAAATATATTATGACATAATTATTTATTTTTAAGATGCACCTGCAACAATACAATACTTATAAAATATACAATATACAGTAAACAAACAACAAAAGTATGGTAACAGCTATTAAAACACAATAGGAATTGGGCAACTCTTGCCAAAGTGTGTGATTGCTTTGCAGAAGGAAGAACAGTTGTCATGGATGATTTAATATAAAAAAAATAAAAATGCTTAAAATCATGTATTCCAAGCTGTACCACTCTTTGTTTATAGATGGTATCTTCCCCAATGCTGTCTCCCAAACCAGGCCAAGCATTCCATTATTTCTTTTTAATTGCACATTTTATCGTTTTAGCAACTGCCAACAACAGTGAAAAGGTCATATGCTTTTTTAAAACGAAATTCCATACAGAGACAAGCATGGGATAAAGGCAAATTGCTTGTTTGGTACATAATACATGAAGCTTTCAAAACCTGGGTTAATTGAAGCTCTTCACCTTCTCTGGTAGCCATTCCCTTCCATATATTTGAATGAGTAATAAAACCAGCTGAATTTCTTGTACTGTTATCATAGTCATTAGCCAAGCAAAAAATTATCTTGCCCTTCTCCATTGTGATTCCTCCTTGAATATATACTCTGCGTGGGTTCATGGGCAAGAGATTTACCCATTTATGCCTTTCTTGTGTGTTTCTTGGTTAACTGCACATCAGAGTTGCTTTTCTTCTAAGTCCCATGTGCTGATTATGTTTTCATTTATTTATCTTCATTTTGCTTACCAGTCTTGAAAAAAGAGTAAGAGATATTGTCCACAAAGCTTTTTGGGATTGCTTGGAAGCACAGTTAAAAGAAAGCCCACCTTCATATGATCACGCAATTAAACTGGTAGGAGAAATTAAAGAGGTAAGATTGAAAGTATTTGTTATCATTTGAATATTTCTTGTCTATCTTCAAATATAATTATTTAAAAATAACTGAAGTAGCAGCAGTCTATGTACAGCTTTAGTTGTACAACTAATGATCTTCAAAGTTTGAATTCAAATCTTTTGAATAGCTGGTCAGCCAGGTTGGGGGACAGGAGTGGCAGCAGGAGGTGGTCATAAATGTGGAAAGTCCAAATTTTGTTCGTATGACTGTGGGGGCATTGTGACCGTCAAAACTTTGAGGATTGGTCACAAGTCCCTTCGTTCAGTACCATTGTAACTTCAAATGATTCCTGATCATCTAGCAAGGATGATTTATATGTGTTATCTTCCAAATGATCCCATTTATATCATTGCTAGTACTCTTAAAGTACTGAAGTATTCAAAAACAATGGAATACATGGATTACCAAATGAAGATGTAAAAATGGGCCTTTGTGTCCCATTTTGATTTTCAGATGCAGTTTTTGGAACACTGTGGAATATGGTATGCTGAGTTAGATGAACTCTGGTTTGATTCATTAAAGAAAGCTTTTACTTCCTTAAAATCATGATCTATTTGTTTTCTTATGCTTTGGAAACATGGATGGACAATGCAGATCCTTTATTTGTAGTTTTGAAATATCTTTTGTTGCTTTGCTCTCTTCTCACTCCTTTAAAGTCTGTCATATATTGCTCTAAAATGAATGTACTATTGTCTGGCTTATGACCTGATACTACTGAGTCATTATGCTGGTCATTCTATGCTGCCACTTGACTGAACAAGATTTTTTGATTTGGCTGTACAGTGGCTATAACCTTTTAGATAAGCCTTTGCCTACCATATTGAAATTCTATCCGTTGCTTCTTTGTAGCATGGTATTGGGAGAGAAAAGTGTTGCAAAAAACGTAGGGCATGCAGAAACAGAATTGTTTGCTTTGTTTCAGTTGTGCTTTTTCAATTTTTCCCAATTAAACTGCTCAAGAGGCTTTAAAAAAACAATGGAGCAAAAATCTATATTCAACTGCATCTTGAATGTCCAAATTTCAGTAAATAAAACTCTGAAACCTAAGGTCATTTGACTGTATATTTTTATATAACCACTTTTCGTAGTAACATAACGTTGTACTGTAGTGGTTTTTATTTTTGAATGGTATGACAGCAGTGTAATTAGTACTAGGAGCTAATAAAAAGGACATTACTTTCTTTCAGGCTCTCTTGTCTTTTTTGCTGCCTGGCCATACTCGATTAAGAAATCAGATTACCGAAGCTCTTGATCTGGATCTGATAAAACAGGAAGCTGAGAATGGTGCCCTTGACATTTCTAAGCTGGCAGAATTCATCATTGGAATGATGGGGACACTCTGTGCTCCAGCGAGAGATGAAGAAATTCAGAAGTTGAAAGACATTCGTGAAATTGTTCCCCTGTTCAGGTGCTAGAGGGGGAAAAGGAAAAAAAAAAAAGAATAAGTCTTCAGTCCAAAATGGCTTATCAGCTGTATCATTTTTAACAGGCATTAGATGCTATGTGGACTACTTGAATATATTTTCTTCTTTGCTTTTTATTGGGGACCTTATGTTAAGAATGAAGAAATTTGGAATAATAAAGGAAGATTATTCTTTGGCTAAGGATAATTCTTGTAATGTTTTGTAGTAAGGTGTATTTCCAGCTCTTTAAGGTGAATGTTCAAGCCCCTTATAGCCAATCCTAACAAAGTACAAGTAGTCCTCAGCTTACAACAGTTCATTTAGTGAGTGTTTGAAGTTACAATGGCACTGAAGAAAGTGACTTATGACAGTTTTTCACACTTACAACTATTGCAGCATCTTAGTGATCATGTGATCAAAATTCAGGTGCTTGGCAACTGGTTCATATTTATGACGGTCACAGTGTCCTCATGTCATGTGATCTACCTTTTGCAACCTTCTGAGAAGCAAAGTCAATGGGAAAGCCAGATTCATTTTACAACCATGTGACTATCTTAACAACTGCAGTGATTCACTTAACAAATGTGTGAAGAATGGTCATAAAATGGGGCAAAATTCACTTAACAAATATCTCACTTACCAAGAGAAATTTTGGGCTCCATTGTTGTCGTAAGTCAAGGACTACCTGTAAAGATTCACACAGTTTCATTAATCAGGCTTAAGGTAAAGAAATGGGAGATTATCATGCAGAACCTTGCAAACTAAATAAAACCCATGCCTTCATTTATGAACAAATTTCCTAATAGTAGGCTCTTTGTGAATTGTTTGAGCCTCTTTTTAACAGAACGTGTACCCTAAGGACTAAGCATCCTTTTACAGATAAGCGCAGGAGTGCAACGTTTTATGACTGATGTTTTGACATACAGATAACAGATAATCAGAGTTGGAAGGGACCTTGTAGGTCATCTAGTCCAACCCCCCGCCGCCCAAGCGGGAGACCCTACACCATTTCTGACAAATGGCAGTCCACTCTCTTCTTGAAAGTCTCAAGTGATGGCGCTCCCACAACTTCTGAGGGCAAGCTGTTCCATTGGTTGATCGTTCTGTCAGAAAGTTTCTCTTTATCTCCTTGTTCAGTTTCCATCCATTATTCCTTGTCTGGCCTACAGGCGCTTTAGAAAATAGCTTGACCCCTTCCTGTCTGTGGTAGCCCCTCAAATATTGGAAGACTGCTATCATGTCCCCCCTGATCCTTCTCTTTACTAGACTAGCCAAGCCCAGTTCCTGCAACTGTTTGTTGTATGTTTTAGCCTCCAGTCCCCTAATCATCCTGGTTGCTCTTCTCTGTACTTTTTCTAGAGTCTCAACATCTTTTTATAATGTGGTGACCAAAACTGGATGCGGTACTTTAGGTGTGGTCTTAACTAAGGCTTTATAGAGTGGTATTAGTACTTCCCTTGATCTTGATTGTATACCTCTGTTAATACAATTTAGGATTGCGTAAGCTTTTTTGGCTGCTGCTGCTGCACACTGCTGGCTCATATTTAGTTGGTTGTCCACTAAGACTCCAAGATCCCTCTCACAGTTACTGCTATTGAGCCTGGTTTCACCCAGTCTATATGTGTACTTTTGTTTTTTCTTGCCTAAGTGTAGGACTTTACTTTTCTCTACATTGAATTTCATTTTGTTAGATACGGCCCAGTGTTTTAGTCTATCAAGATCCATCTGGATCTTGAGCCTATTTTCTTGGGTGTTAGCTATTCCTGCCAGCTTAATATCATCTGCAAATTTGGTAAGTTCCCCTTCTATTCCCTCATCTAAGTCGTAAATGAAGATATTGAAGAGTACTGGGCCTAAGACGGAACCTTGTGGCACCCGACTGCTTACTTCCCTCCATGTAGACTTAGACCCATTAAGGCCTACTCGTTGAGTACGGCTTGCCAGCCAGTTGCGAGTCCATCTAGTGGTGCTATGTATTCCACTTTTTTCTAGCTTACTAAGAACTAGGTTGTGGTCTACTTTGTCAAATGCTTTGCTGAAATCTAAATATATTATGTCCACAGTATTTTGCTGGTCTACTAATTTAGTCACTGTGTTGAAGAATGAAATAAGATTGGTTTGGCATGATCTGTTTTTAACAAACCCATGCTGACTGCTAGTTATTACTTTACTTGTTTCTAGATTTTGGCAGATCTGTTTTTTTATTATCTTTTCCAGTATCTTCCCCGGTATTAATGTTAGGCTGATTGGATCTGTTTTTTTTCCTTTTTTGATTCCTTTCTTTCCCAGTCTCAGTGAGCTCTCTTATTTAAAGCCTCCCCTGACTATAAATATGGATTCCTTCCAGAAAAAAAGCCCTATGTGTTGGGAGGAACATTACTAGCTTGGGATTTTGCATCAAATGCCGTTTTTCTGTGTAGAAGGAATTGTCTGATGGGTAGCATTTCATCACAGCAGATCCTCTTCCCTGGCATTCAGAAGTGGAATTGCTCTGAGGTGGGCATATGTTATCAGAAGGAACTGGGCTACAGTTATCAGAATAAGTATGGATAAAATCATGCTATTTGCCTTTCTTCGGAAATCAATCCAAATTGATTCAATGGAACTTTCTCCCCAGAGAATAGATATAAGATTGCTATTTAAAGATAATTTGTAAAATAATGAAGCTTTCTCCAATCTAGTATCTTTCAAGTATAATTCAAATCTCATACAGTAATTTTCAAATACAAAGGCTGAACGTGATATATCTCCGTATAATGGGAATTTAAGATCAGAACTTCTAGTTCTGATTTAAAGCTTTGTAATAAGGATAATATATAAAGCAATATTCCGATGTAACTACTATTGGATAATACTTCATTATTTCCATAAACTTCCCTTGAAAGAAGACTAATTCTTCATTTTCTTTTGACTTAGTTAATTATCTTGACTGTTCAAGGCTTGCTTTATTTTTTAAAAGTACGACTAAATTTTGAAAAGCTTAATGTCTTTTTATTTTTTGCAGAGCAATTTTCTCTGTGTTGGATTTGATGAAAATGGACATGGCTAATTTTGCTGTCAGTAGCATTAGGCCACATTTAATGCAACAGTCAGTAGAATATGAAAGAAAGAAGTTTCAGGAACTGTATGAAAAACAGCCAAGTATGATTTTTCTTGCCTTCCTTTACTAAATGATACACTTCTATTGTTAAAATGGAATTTATGAGGTAGATTCAGCAGGAATATTCAGTTTCATTTTTTAACAACTTACTTAATTGTTCAGTATTCAAAAGAATATCAAATAAAAAACTTCATAAGATATGCCCCCAATCCCTGTTTTCCTGCCATCCAAAATGATGCAAGTCAAAACAAATTAAAAACTACCACCTGCATAATCAGTGCTGTTTCACACATCTTTATATAACATTGAGCCAAATAAAAAAATTACACCAGATTTCATGGGTTTTGTTATGTAAATCTGGCAGCTATTCTGCAATGTGGAATTTATTTCTTGTGTTGGATGATTGTAAATGTCCTGGGAAAATGGACAATAATGGTAGCCATAATTATTCAAGTGTTTTAGTTATGATAATGAGTAACTAAATGGGCATAAGAAATGGTGGTACCTGCCAATTTTGTGATAGCTTCAGTATATGACCCCTTCCACTTGTGGGCCTGATTTAAGTCCTTCCTGGTTCCTGTATGGGGCTAGGTGTGTGATAACCTGGATTTGAGAAATTATCAGTATTTGGGGGGATATAAGCTGGAGATGGTTCTGAAGCACATGATGAGTATTTTGCTGCAGAAATCACTCTTGAAAGTCAGTATAGGTTTATTTTAAATGAATAAATAAATTGGTGGAGTAATGACTGAATGAAAAAATATATCTCTCTCTCTCTCTCTCCCTCTCTCCTTCTCTCTCTCAAATAGATTCCTTAGATTTTGTGACTAAATGGCTGCAAGAAGCCATGGTTGATCTACAATCCAAAGTTGCCTGTGCTAGTAATAATGATGCTGCCTTTGCAGTTCCGGCACTGAGTCCTGTTGCTGTACAAAATCATGCATATATCCAACTACTCAAATGGAACCATCTGCAGAAACCTTTCCCAGAAGTAACTATATCTGTAATTCCTGAAATCTAGATAACAACAACTGTGTGAAATCTTAGGACAGATTTTAAATAAGCCTTGTTCTTAACCCCTCCTGTTAAGGCAATGAAGAATTTAATCCAAGGAAAGAAAACACATTTCTAGTTGTGAGTGGGTAATGGTGGGGAAAGAGTATTTACCTCTAGAAAATTGTTGCATTTCTTTATTGGGTATACAGGAGAATAATGTCTTCCTTCTTGTTCTTAGGCCCTTAGAGAAGGCACAGAAAGTCCCATTTCCTTGGAGCTCCTCCATTTTATTTTTAGGGTAGCTCCGGAGAGGAGATGGTGTGATGGCTCAATAGTTAAGATGCTGGGCTTGTTGACTGAAAAGGTTTGAGACTTGAGCGCCATGTGACAGGGTGGAGCTCGTGTTCTTGTCCCAGCTCTGTCAGCCTAGCAGTTCCAAAGCATGCAAATGCGAGTAGATAAATAGGTATCATTTCAGTGGGAAGATGTATTCTGTGATGTCATGCTGAACACATGACCATGGAAGTGTTTCAAGGTCATTGGGTCAAACGGAGATGAGCACCACCCCCTAAAGTCAGCAATGACTAGCAGAATAAAATCCTCAGAGACTCCCCTATGGAGAAGAGTACAAATACTCACAAGAGGTTGTAAATAGAAGATATTCTCTTTTCTTACTTTTTCTCTTCTCTGGATTCACTTACATTTTTATTTTTATTTTTGTATTTATTAAATTTATAGCCACTTATTTCACTATCAAATTATTCTGGACATACACTACTAGGATTAAATGTACTTATTTTATATAATCCTAACTTTATAGTACTTAAACTGATTTTGCATTTAACTGTTTTTTTTTTCTTTCTTTTTTTTTCAAAGTAAGGAAGTTTGAAGAATTTATTTTATTATTTGACTTTATGTTAATTTTAGTGTTTTATATTATGCTGGAACTATATTTTTGTGAAAATGTGGATGTGCTTATGAGTTAGAGTAGAGACATGGAACATACATTGAACAGGATAATTTGCTATTTAGAATGTGTAGTAGGGCTTGTCTTTTGTAAAGGAAAAATGATTTATCTTCATATTAAACTTGAAGTTTCTTTTTTAGTTTGTTTACGTTAGGATAATGGGATCATTGAAAGCCTTTTAAATTAAATTGTGTTATACTTAAGAACTGATATGTGGAATGCCGAGTTTTACATATGTTACTTAATATTAAAATTTTAGAGCTTTGTTTGGATCTTTTGCTGGTAACTGGATTGAAGAAGACATTACATATTTGACTTGACTATTGTTAAGAGGTAGCTTATGGGATGAAGCATTTTATATTTGTTAGGTAAGAGGCAACAAAGAAGTTATACAGTAGAATTGTTTATACTTGCATTGAAGAGGGTGGGAAGTCACTTGAGAGTTCTTTTATGCTTCTTTTTCTTGCATTTTTTCTCTTTTCTTCTAATTTATAATCTTTTATTGCTATAAAATCTGTAATAAAATTATTTTTTAAATGGAAAAATAAGGTGCCATATGTATCTAATAAATAAATGTATCCTCATGGAAAAATAATTATTAGTACTCGTTAGAGAGCAAACCTATTTTAAATGACACATAGATAACATTGATACTGGATCCTTTATTTTCATAGAGAACTAATTGCCTTTTTATTATTGTGTTTCTTGGAGTTTTGGGAAAGAGGATACCTCACAAAACAGTGTATCTGAGACAATTTAATAGCAATATCAGTAAGCTTTCTGACTATTTGAGAAGCTGCTGTGTAATACTTGAGCAGTTCAAAGCAGCACCGACAAGGATTTCAACAATGGGACAAATGAGAAGAGAATTCAGTTTTGAGTTGTCCCAAAGGTGCTTTTTCAAGAAGCAACTGGACTTTGTTTTTCTTTGAAGACATTTCGCTTGTCATCCAGGAAGCTTCTTCAGTTCAGTTCAGTTTTGAGCTATTACCAAAATGACACTTTGTCTTAGGCATATGCATGTAACCAAATGCAATGCTTACTGCATGAATCAGTTCTTAGAATGTAGTTTAGAATATATTATATAAGTCAAAGGTTATGGTACCAAGCTACCTAGGATTTTAAAGTTATACCCATAATTTATGAGTTGTATCAGTCATGGAAATTGCTGTAAATAAATTATGTTTGAATGACCCACCAGTTTTTCTCACTGATATATTTTGATACACATGGCATGTTGATTTATAAGAAATTTCTATCTATATTGGTTTCCTTCCCATACTGTAGTTTAAAAATCAGCTTACTAAAAACTGGAACATTCTGTTCATTGGTATATGAACTTTGCCCAGAATGATTTAACTACAGCAGATTTACAGCTTCAAGATAGGTGATGGAATCCAGTACCTTTTATAACACTATGAACTTGGCAGGGTTCAACTTTCTCATGATTTTTAATTGAAGAAGCTCAATGGGACATTGTAGATAAGTATATCTTGAATTGAAATATAATATTAATTAATCAGAAGGAATTATACAACATTTGATCTATAGGTGTACTTTTACATTTGCTTTTCTTCTTTTTACTTCTCTGAAAGCTTTGTATTTACTAAAGGTTTGATTTTAGCCAGTTATAAGTTTTTTGAGATTTTTTGGGGGAAATCCATACATGTATACCCGTAGCTTAAGATCAAAAGGATTGAGAGGCTGACACCTAGAATAATTTGGAAATTAACAATACTAAGAACTTTGAATAAGCCCACTTATGTTAGGCTGTGAGATTTCTTTCTTATCACACCTTGTCATTCTTTATATTCCAAACTTAGATCCATTTTCTGTGCTGAAAATGTTTTTGCAGACTGTGTTAATGGACCAAAGCCGTTTCCAGGAAATGCAGCTGGAGTTGGACCAGCTCATTCTAATTGGTGCTATTCTTCTGGTTACATTCAATGCATCAGGCTCAGCTCTTTCTGATTTGCCAGCTTTTACCAACAAACTCAAAATGGCTATCCAAGTATTGCTGACAGGGCTACACCTTCCGTGAGTACCTTGCAGATTTTGGTCTCTTATGGTATGATGCTGAATGCTATTGACATGAAACTTCGAGCTTAGGCCTACCTATTTGAAAGGATTCTGGTGTTTTCCCCACTTCTATTGATAATAAAAAGCCTTAAAATTATTGGGAATGTTATTCGCTTGGTAGATTTTTCTGAACTTGGAATAAGGAATCTACTTAAAATCAGCCGATCTCAACGTTACCCCAGTTGGTCTACTGGGCCTACAGATTCTGTATTCACAGCCAGCCAGTTAACCTAAAGCTGCCAGTGAACTCACATGTGCATTCTGAAAAATGCAGGTTTGAATTCCTCCCCCCAAATCATAATTAAACCTAGTGTGAATAGGAAATGCTACTACCGTCATTGTCATTTGTTTATGAATTTAATTTCCTATTACAGGTAGTCCTTGACTTATGACTACAATTGAACCTAAATTTTTTGTTGTTAAGTGAGACATCTGTTAAATGAGTTTTGCCCCACTTTACGATCTTTCTTTCCACAGTTCTTAAGTGAATCACTGCAGTTGGAAATGAATAACTCGGTTGTTAAGTGAGTATGGCTTCCCCATTGACTTTGCTCATCATAAGAGATGATCAAGTGACTTGGGACATAGCAATAGTCATAAATATGAACCAGTTGCCAAGCATCTGAATTTTGATCACATGATCATGGGGATGCTGCAAAGGTTGTGTGAAAAATGGTCATAAGTCACATTTTTCAGTGCTGCTGTAACTTTGAATGGTCACTAAAAAAACCTGTTGTAAGTCGAGGACTACCTGTATATTTATAAGGCACAAAAATAATGGCATAGCTTCCACTACTGCCATTTTTCTTCTTCAGGACTTCTTATTGGTTTTTATTTTGGGGCAAGGCTTATGATTTTGCTGTCAGATAAATCAGCTTTAAAGTTTCATCTGAGCTATTCTAATACATGGAAGTTTTTTTTATTATCATTTTTTAATTCTTCTAACCTTTCTCTCTAGTTCCTTCAACTTGGATGAAACTTTGGCTGTCATAAGTGAAAAGATTTGTGCTGAAGTTAACAGTTGCCTTTCCCAGCATGGCTTTACACCATTTACATCTGAAAAAGTGATTGTGCTTAAAGGACAAATCCAGGCTCTTGCCAATGCTGATAACGCTGTATGCAAATTGATAGGTATGCATTATGGATAAAATGAGTTTTGTTCAGAGTTTATAATTGTCTGCAAGTTCATATTCATATCTGAGAACATGCAATATGTTAATGTTATAAAAAAGTAGAAAATATTTGGGATAACCTTTGTATAGGCCATTTCTTTTTTATCCATAAACAATTTCTTTTAGCTAAGTGAACAAGCTAAATGATTTTAAAAGATTCAGGATTTTATCCTGGGATAATTGCATATATGTAAAAACAGGATATGACCACTTATATTTTATATCTTTGGATGCGACTAGAATACAAAGATGCATTGGGATATTTGAAGTAAAAAGACAATAATGCTGAAGGAAATTTAGAATTTATTATTGAGATAGGTTTATTGAACCAGAAAGCAGCAGAATCATTTATTTGCCACATAAGTTTAGTTTGGCTCTAGAAAAATGAACAGGATAAATTAAGGCCTATTAAATTGCCTTATTAACTCTCTTCTTTTCTCAAGATTCAAGGATCCAGTTGTTTTTAGAGAATTACCTTGCTTGTGGTCATCAGAAATCACTTCCTCCTGTGCTTGGTGGATTGGGCCCTATTCAGAGAGAGCTGGAGGAGATTGCTATCAAGTATATTCGTCTTGTTGACTACAACAAGCTGGTTTTCAGTCCTTATTATGATGAAATTCTCAGCAAAATATTGAATAAAGAATTTCCTGAGCTGTGAAGAAAATGGAAAAAAAATGCCAGATCCGTTTGTATGCAGTCCTTCAGTAATAGGGCTTCAGTCCAGGGCCAGAAGACTGTTTTAGTTTGCTTTTACTCTTTTTTTGTAAAAGAGGGCTGAAAAATGAAAGCTTCCTTTAGAAGCCAGTTGTTCGTTTAGGATCCCTACAATCGGTCCTGCCATCCTCTGTACCCTTCTGGATCACCTTTCCCTACACAGCCCACTGCTATTCAGACTTCTCTCTGAACCATTACCTGGGGAAGATACATTTATGCATTTAGGGTAAAATGCAGTATCTCAAGAATTGTGCTGATCATACTCCAATTAGACTTTTTACAGAAGTCCCCAGCATGGTTGGCTTGCATCACCGCATTCCACTTGTTCCTTTCAGACAGTAGCTTAGGAGTACATATAAATTCAGGAATCAAGTGATTTGCTGTATTCTTGTCAAAGCAGAATCATACCTGGAAAAAAATTGTGATTCTATGCTTAGATATTATTGCTGGCTTACTGTAATTACCTTTCCTCTATTGAAAAAACATTGAAATGTTTAAAGAAACAGCTTTCCAAACACGTTTCCAAATAATTCAATAGCAGTGATCAAATATTATCTAAAATATACATAAAATATTTTGGCTTAGTATATAACTTTATTAGCCATAATGGCCCTTGGCAACATATAAGGATAATTATGAAAACCATCCTGTTTGCATTATGCAAAGTACATGCTAACAGGTTTTTATATATATATATATATGTACTTTATATAGTTCTTAAAGCCTGTTCTAAAATCTACAACTTAAATGTCCACATATTCAGAGTTTGAATATTGGTAGTTAAAGCACTTTATATATATTCTGCAAGCCAAGGCTCTTTTGTGTTTCTGCGAGCCATGGTTTTCTATAGCATTTTTTTTTTCTCTACCCGCAGATAGTTGGTCAAAATCATATATTTTTGTAGAATATTTTCCAGTTCTTTATTTCCCTATTCATAAGAATGCTATCCTGTAGATTCAAGGAAGTGTTTTTCTTTTGACCTGTGAGAACTTTTTGAAAAGAGCAGTTTCTTCGTGTAGATTTTCTTTGCAGAAAATACGAATGTGACCTTGAATAAGAATTTTTCACCAGATATAACAAGAAAACGGGATGAGGTTTTAAATATTAAGAAGGAAATTAAAATGATAATCTCAGAGAACAATTAAATAATTTCCTAGTTTCTTAGTTTTCTATTAATGAAGTATAAAATGCTACTAAAGACAAGCAAACCTTTATAGTTGAAGCAGTCGAGTAAGATAAATATATTGAATGTTACTAATATTATTTACATAAAGCTTGGGATTAGAAGGAAAGACAGATTAAAGTCCTAGTTTATATCCTCCTTACGAGTGAAATTATGAAACTACCAGTTCAATTGCTATGTTAGTTGCAAATATTGGCATTGGTACACTCATCTCTAGATCAGGGGTGTCAAACTCGCTTTGTCATGGTGGCATCATGTGACGTACCATGACTTTTCCCCCTTTGCTAAACCAGGCATGGGAGTGGCCAGCCTGTGATATATCCAGCCTGTGAGCCGCAAGTTTGACAGCCCTGAGCTAGATGGTGGCAGACCCAAATGAATTCTAACTTGCCTTCCCTGTTAGGCCCACAGCACAGAATTTCACATGCTGAGATATGACTCTTAATCCAGAGCAGGAAGAAGATGCTTCTATGTATGCTTCTCTTGCTCAGTTGGGTGCAAAACATTTGTTGATTTTTATGTGTGTGTGTATATAATATGATGGATTGCTTTCCAGTGTCGAAGTTTATAATATAAATTCTATTTATTTATGTATTTATGTATTAAGGTAGCTGAAATAAAAGTGTTATGTGTTAGAATGTTATATTCAAAAACGGGAATAATAAAGCAGAGAAGCTTTGGTTGGAAAGATGGATGCAATATAGGGTCCAAATACTTAGTGGCGATCTGTTAGATATGACTGAGCTTTGTTGTCAAAGAGCAAAAGGTCTGAAGTTTTTCACTTAAATAATCCTTTTAATTATTAGAATTACTTAAAAACAAAATATTTGATCATATTCTAAACTAAACAATAATTGGTCTGATGCAGCATAACCAAACCAATTTTTATTAATTGTTTTATTGATTTTAGTAATTTCTTCGTTGATTGTTGTGAATTGCAGAGAGATGCTAGGAGTTGGGTGGCATACAAACTTTAATTTATTATTATTATGTCTGGTTGCACAATTCACCAGATTTGGATTTGGCATTTTTTATTTATTATTATTACTTCAGTCCAATAATATGTTCAGTATATATTATTGAACATTTTGTGAAGGGTTTGTTTTTTATTTAAATAATGCTCCTGCAAATGCCTTCCTTTTGAAATTTGATGCCTCAGAATTTTAATAAGCAAAAATAGGAGTCCAAATGTTTTTGTTTTAAGTAAAGAAGCAGTCTAAAACTAATAATTCTAACATTAATAGTCAGAAACGATAAATCTAATTATTCAGTCTAACCAATTCTGGAAAATTAGCCCTTATTTTAAACCTTTTTCATTAAAATCAGTTAGATTTCAGATTCTTAGCTGTTATCTGATATTTAAATTTACTCATCCACCAATTTTATTGCTTTAAGACAGAAAGCAATTAAAAAAAACCCCTTATATAGTATTTTATCAGAATATGTATGTGTTTATGGGAATTTTTGAACTGTTAATATTCCAAGCTTGATGTTTTTCCTCAGTGTTGCTGTCATCTATGCTGTATGTGCATCTTTAATATGAGATGGTAATTCATCTGTAATAAATTAATAATTTTTATGCTATATGTTGTAGTTTCCAATAATGTATCCCATTTCTGCTGTTCTATTTTCACCATTGTCACACATTTATTTCACAAATGCTTACTTAAGGTTTGGATTTTGCTTCATTGTTCCCTCTAGAATTTTTATCCCCACACTAAACTCTAAAATAAAAATGCTGCATTAAAATAGGCAACTCTTCAGGAAATACAATGTTTTCTAAAATGACTCCCACATTGTAAATGAAGTGACAAAGACAAATAGGAATGATGCCAAGAATCCTGAATAATTGAAATTTAATTCAGGTTTGGCAAATCAATTCACTTGTGTGCCTAGTGCTTGAATGGATCTTGGTGTAATAACTGTAAGTTTCATATGAAGCCTGGTCTACCTGGTCTTGCCTATTAAGCAGTGAAAGGTGATGGAAAAAAATTAACAGTGGGAGAAAGATACCGATAGCTTTAAATCATGTGCTGCATAAATGTGCCAGTCCTTAATGGCAAATAGCATTATGTATTACTGATGCCAAGGCTACAAACAACTCTTCGCGTGATTGTAATTGTTCTTTAATAGCTATCAAACAGAGTGGTGATGAAATTATTTTTGACTAATACAATATTTTTCATACTCGCACAAGTGAAGCAATGTCATGTCTGCAATAATCTGGATTTTAAAAACTAAAACATGTATGCTTATAAATACTTCCACACGTGCTCTCTCAGACAATCCAAACTACTTCCTTTCTTCTGATTTTGTCCATGGCAAATAGTATAGGAAAGCCTAAAGCTCAGATTCTTTCAGCATCTCTCCACTGAGACCAAAGTTTGTATTTCTTGCATGGAACAGATGAAGTGGAATCTGATGCTAAGTTACAGTCTTATTCCTCTCAAAATCCCAACAGTGCATGGGTTAGAGAATATTATCTATTTTCTGCAGGGATCACAGTAGCTCTATTAAAATTAGCATAGTACACACAATAAAGAGTGAGTCACTTGTTATATGAAATTTGTAATCAGATTTGCATTTTGCAGACTTCAACTTGAAAAGTAAACTTTCTCTGGAATTATTTAAAAGTACCGAGAAAGGGCAAAATAGGTCAAAGATAAATTCTATAATTAGTTGTATTGACTATAGAAATACTAAGTGCTTTACACTATATTTCATACCTTTCATACAACTAAAGGTAATAGGCAAGTGGCAATCTCTTTTCCCTTATCTTGAAACTAGCTTGTATGCTGGAAAAAGGTTATCTGTAGTTATCACAGTACTTAGTGCTTTATTTTGTAATTTAAAAAATACCAGAAATATTTTCTGCATTGTTACTTACATAACAAAAACAAAACTAATGTTAATCTTTTAACTGAGAGAAAAGCTAGTTGTATCGCCCCTAAATTATCAATGACTACTATTGCATGCCTGAAGTATTTGCTGACTAGCGTTAATTTAAATGTCAATGAAAATGGGAACTCTTCAGTTCAAAAGGATCTCAAACCATTTTCTATTACTATATTTCTATGGAATATTTTTATTTCTATAAATTATTTGAATTTTTAACAGATCTGTTCTAGATACTTTTGTGAATTAATGTTCATGCTCTGGACAATTATTTATATTTCAATATTGTGATACAATCATTAATTGCATCTTTGAATTACAAATTTCATTTTAAAGTTTGTTTCATTTCATTTTGTCACACATCAACTCTAAGGAAAATAATGCTTAGAAAAATAATGCTGAAGACAAACTTAAATGTATGCTTATCCAAGGAAAAGTAAACACCAACGGAACCAAACGATTTCATTTCAGTATTTAGGATGATTAGTGGTTTGAAGAAACTGACAATTTTTGTATCAGCTAGAACAAAATTCATGAGACGTAACTTTATGGAGATCCTTTATTTGAAAGGAACAATTTTTTCTATTTTAAACTACAAAACAGCTTCCATTCATTCTGCCATAAATTAAAATGAAGAATAAGGCAGGACAGACACTACGTGAGCAAAGTGAGAACGGTTTTTCAGAAATGTGAATTTAAAATATTTCCCCATTATAGGCTTTCCAGTTTTTAAAAATAAAACTGTCAAAATCCCCACAAGAATTCAAGTGGAGTGTGAGGATACATCTGAAGACCAACCAAACACATGGCAAACACGTTTTGCATGGTCTGCGTCCCAATGTGTAGTTTGCTGCCAGAACTCAGATTTGCTAGTTCATCTGCCTTTTTCCTTTTCTGATGAAAAAACAGCTGGTAAAAAAGAGGCACCACAGTAACAAAACAACCTCAGTTGCAAGATGCATGTTAGAAACTTTCAATTCTTTTTAAACATTTGATTTGTTGAAAGACAACATATTACAAGTTCTTTAGCTTCACAACTGAATTTGCAACATGCCTCATCGGATTCGCTTCTGTTGTCGTGCTCTGTAAATGTCATGAATTGGAGGAACCACTGATCCCTTTTCCTCATCATCATCTGAATCTTCGTTTGGTCTTTTGACAGATTTATTGAGAAGGGTATTATTTTCCAAAGGTCCATTCCCTTCCATTGAAAGGTCAGGCAAGCCTCCCGTAATAATCCGTACAGCTTCATCCACAGCTTTGGAAAAGGGAAGAAAAGAGTTCATTTTGTGGAAAAAAAGTTGGCTCAATAGTTCTGAACATACACATTTATATTTAGAGATATTATAGACAAAGTACATCCATCAGTGATTACGGAGAAAGGGATAGAATACTGTCTTAATATTTTTGCTCAAACGGCCATTTCCTAAAGTTAAGGATGAGCTTGTTTATATAATACCTTTAATCCAGCCAGCCACTGACCCAGTGAAATGACCTAAATGGGATCACCATAACCAGATCTATAGTTTCCCGTTTCCCAAACACAGATCCATCCAGTTTCTCTAAGAACAGTCCAGGTCAATCTGGCAAAGTTCCATTATATCACCAGCCCAGAACCCATTGGCTAGGAAAGTAATTGTCTGGGATTAACAAATGCGCTGATATGGAACCGGGACAACACACTTCCAAAATGGGGGCCAGAGGAAAAACAACTTACTGTCTGGAAGTTTGCATCTTCTGACAATCTCCATGAGTTCATCCACTTGCACAAATGGACCCTGCACACACACAAAAAGATTAGCCATTTAATAGGAACACTGACATAAAAGTATTATAGTTCAATAAATGTAATATTAATAAAATGTGGCAGTAAACTACCAAAGTCTTCAGAAGATTTAATTGTATTACAACTAACCTGAAAACACACAGGAGGTGGGAGGAGTTTCATTAGAACTACAGCAGCAGGTGGAACAGGAAACACACCACCAGGAACCGGATGTAAACCAGGAGCTAGAATACAACCACACAAAAATAACTCTTAATGGTTTTACAGCAAAAGTAAAAAGGCTTGATTGGAGTTTTGTTTATTTTGGAGATGAATCTTACAAGGCATCATATGCAATGAATAAAAATCTGAGATCAAATGACTTAACTCAAACTTCATGCAGTACTTGCGTAAGAGTGAATTAGGCATTTTTAAAATAAAGTTTCAGTCAGAATATAGCAGAGAATTTCCTTTTTTATCTTGACAAAATTTAGTAATCCTCTTACGTGCTAAATGCCTTGGTTGAAATGGAATCATTTGCTGTGTATCTGGTTTTGGATATTCTGGCTTTCTGTCTGCTTCATCTTTTAGCACAGGTACTATAGAAGGTGCCACTACAGGATCTGGAATTATGGTTGATAGTTTTGCACGAGAGACATCCTGGAAATTGTATTGAAAGAAAGTGTTAATCCATTTGACTAAATAAATTTTCAAAAATCTTTAAATGATGAAAGTGCAATGGACGTAATGTAACATTATCTGTTAAATTACCTTATAACCAAGAGCTTTAAGTTCACTGGCAGAACAAGGGTACAGATCCATGAATTTATATCTGTCTACCAGCAAAGCTGTTTCTTTGCCCTCATATTCTTCCTTGAAAGCTGTAAACCTTCGTTTCTCAACTTTTAATATGCTAGCCAAGTCACCAATATTGCTTTCAAAGGCTAAAAATCGAGCCCATATTTCTCTGTATAAGAAAATACCGAAGAAAACAAATAACCCAATAACAATTAATTCATATGCCCAACAAGAGACAGAAAAATCAAAATATAGAAAACATGCCTATTTAAGCATATTCTAACTACACTGTCTAAAGTAGTACCAATGTTTTTTGCAACTGTTCAATAACCAGCAGGTTTCAAATCCAATTTATTGCAAGTCACTGCTACATGTTAACTAAAAAAAAAATATTCTATGTGTTGGTGGCTTGCTAGTAATCAACTGCATGAGAAACTATTCTAGTCTAATGTTAAATTTATTGTATACAAATACCAGTCGTTTTTTTTCTTATAACCAAAAGGCATAGCAATTGCCCACAGGTTAATTTTAGCTGCCTCCTTTTTCTATAAAATGTTTATTTTAGATCCAGAAAAACTGATAACTGAGTTTATTCTATAAGCTGCTCTAGTAAGGAAGGACAGTCAAAAGAAATAATTCTGTACTTAATATTGATTCAGGTTGAATGACAACCAGTCAGCTTATGTATAAAGTGGGACCATGGTAGAAGAGCTCTTATAAGTAAAATGGAAGCAAAATGAGCTTGCATGCATAGATTATACAATTCACTACATTTAGGAGCAAAACGGCAGACAAAATAGCTATTTATTAAATTTAGGCAAATGTAATCCACAAATGTGCATAACTCCCCAGCACTTTGGCTCCAAAAAATAGGGTCCAAGTGGAAATCACTTGTTAAAGGGAATAGTTTTCAGCGAGTAAACACAGATGAGTTGGGGAAGAATGTACAGTGAAAGCCAGGAAGGAGGTATGATCATTTATGTGTATTTGTATTAATCAAATTTATACATCACCTATGTCACTGTACAAGTGACTTCCACAGTAAACTCATTACTGCAGTTTTCAAAGAATAAACGGGTGAGATGGGGAAGGATGTAGGTATAAATCAGGCAGGAAGGTGGAATTATTCATTCATCTATGTATGTATTAATTAGATTTAATGCTGCCGATCTCACTGTCTAAGTGAGCGGATTACAGTAAACTCATTTCTGATGCATGCAGGTCAAAGTGCCAAAGCATGCCCGGTCAGATCAGAACACCATCAAAGCAATTGGGGGCATCCATAACATGAATGTGCTACATTCTTTGCTTCTCTTAGTATGACTCTATTTACAAGTAAAATAAGAGATCACTTGCAGGAAGGAGCTTTGGTAAGGCTTACCCAGATTTCTCTGGTGGAAGGCTCCCCGAGGTCAACACACGTTCAAACAGGACTCTTGTATTATTATCCTCTATTTAAAACAGAGTTTAAAAGCAAAGATGAAAACACATAAATATTTGACTGATTTTTAAAAACAGAAATTTTTAAAGAATAATTTTAAATTTAAAAAACAAGGTTGAAATACTGATACAAACTAAGAAAAATACCAAAAGAAAAAAAAATGCAGACAGAAAAAAAGGGAAGAAAAAAATCTGTAAAAGAAAAAAAGGAAAAAATACAAGGCAATGATTTCCTCTTAATTCAAGACAAGTAGTAACCGTTTCAGTAACTTATCACCTTTTCTATCGTTTCAATCTAAAATCTCTTCATCCCATACCTTTTAAAAAATATAAGAAATTATAAGAAAATAACTTCGATTCTTTGAAAATCCCTGTCTATTCCACATGGATGGAACAAAATACTAATGGCTGCCTTTCCTACATAAAAGCTGAGCAAAAGGGGCTTAAGGCTGAAAAGAAGCTACATAAACTTAACTTTTAATTACATATTCATAACAATTAAAGGTACTGTATCACACTGAAACAATCCAAATCTTAACAAAATAATTTAAAATCCAATTGTTGACAACAGCAGGGTACATAAGATCAAACAAACAAATTATTATTATTATTATTATTATTATTATTATTTGTAAAAGTGTCATTTTTAAACTGGCTGGGAAGGCTGCAAATGGCAATCACATGACTACAGCATGCTGCAGGTGTTGTAAATATGCATTGGTTGCCAGGCACCCAAATCATGATCTAGTGAACACAGGGGGACAGGAACAGCCACCAATTCCAGGATTTGTCAGACACCTCCTTTTTCAGTGCTGATGTAACTTCAGCCATTGAATTGGTCAGTCAGCAAGTGAGGACTCACTGTACATTTGACTATGAGGGGAGATTTAACCCAGTCTTCCTAGTTCATCTTTTTAGTGCTCTGTTATATACATGTCTGCTATGCAATCCATCAGCCTTTGTCTCCACTCTCTTCAAATCAGATTGTGTATAATAACACTTCCGGGCATAAATCCTGATGAAATAAACTTTTACAAAAACAAAGAAACACTAAAAACACTAAAGTCCAGGTTTTTTTACCAGTTAATTATGTGTGAATGCCTGTACAATAAGCAATTGCCCAATAGTTACAAATTAGGTGCTCAATTTGGGGGAAAACGTTTATTTTGTTTATACAAAAATGCTTTCTAACATTTTCACTGCATTTAGGACAGTTATAAGAAATAAATGAATATTATATTCTAATGGAAAAAAGACACAGTGAATTATAATCTCCAATTTAATAACTTCTCTGTGTTCCTGGGACTTACCATTCAAATGAGAAAGATAATCAATATATGCCAAGACATATTCTGGAATGTCTCCATATTTCTTCAAGCCTAGCTCAAAAATCTTAAAAGCCACTGACTTGTCCTGTGAATTTAAAAATGTTATTAGTCAAGTAAAAAATGAAACATCTAAAAAACTAATATAATAATTTAACTCACTATAAAGAATTACCTTGCTACAATAATATTCCATCAGAGCAGCTGTAACATAGACATGGTGGCGGGTACGGGCATCTTCTCGTGCTTTCTTAAATATCATTCGGCCTGATTTTATACCTTCTGCTCGCCTTGCAAATTTCATGTACTGAATATAAACCTGAGGAATGGATAATCTTTTAGCTGCAGTGCAGTATAAAGAGATCTATGCTTTATTACGAATGTGGCTTGGTTGCACATTTAAATGTTTGTATTTTGAAATTCAAGGTAGCATATATATTTAACATGTTTTAGTTCTTACACATCCAAAACGTAACATGTAATTGTTTAAACTCATATTGCTTCTCAAATTCCTTGAGGGGTAAACCAAACCTCACATAGCAAATAACTGATATACAATTCATTGATCAAAAATCTCCACTACCATATTGCTCAAGTGACTGGCCCTAGAGTTGGAATTTTAAGTCACGTTGCTTTGCTGTTTCTCCAGCTGCTATCCAAATTGCCAGTAACCTTTAGAGCTGTGAATTTTGCCAATGAATTGTTTAGGTTTGCTTAGATGTGGAAAACCTGGCTGGCTATTGGAAATTCCCCACTCAAAAAAGTGTCCATCTGGGTTTCAAGTGTAGCACCAACCATGATTCTAAGACAGGGCAGCAGGGTTGCTAATGTCACTTGAAAGATCCTGACAGCTCTCATAGACTTACTGATCAAATTGGACTCTGGTGATCAATTGGGATTGCTGCTACTGGACCAGCTTTGCTTTCTGAGCTGCTCAATTTTACTGGATTGACAGCAGAGTTTCCCAGACTTATACTGAAGGACTTCAACCTGCCTCCCCTGAGTATGGGGCCAGAAGCAGCTTGGAACTTCATGGTCACTATGAAGCCATAGTTGCTACCTTGAATGAAAGGGTCAACAACACCTCTAGATTGGGCTGTATCTATGTAAACTCTTTCTGCTTGTGGATACCAGAAAATATCCCTGGTTTTCAGAAAGCTCTGGAACTAAAACAGCAGCAGAAATATCTAGAATATTTCTGAAACAAAACTAAGAGTGAATCTAATCAGGAATGTAATTATTTTTCCCCTTGTGTCTCTAGGTAAAGGGGTAAAGAGGTCCTGTTCAAAGTGACCCAGTCTCTCTTAGGTAGGTAGGGATGGGCCTGAGGAATAGCTGCAGGACAACTACAAAGATACCTGAGGCAGATAGTCACTAAAATCCATTCTGAATTGGATTCCAGTTGTGCAAGTGCTTTGAAATTGCTTGAGTCACAGTCATATAGTATATGAGAGAAGTTTAAGCCTGTTGGTCTCAAGGATGTGGACGAATCTATGGCCTCCTGTAACTTACATCCGTGTCCCTCCTGGCTGGTTAAGGCCTCTTGGGAGACAACCTGTGATTGGATCCAGGGAGTGGTGAAGTCATCCTTGAGGGAGGAGATGTTCTGCCGCCCTTAAATTGGTGGTGGTCCACCCCATCCTCAAGAAACTATCCTTGGATCCAACAGCACTGGAAGATTTTCACCCTGTCTCCAACCTTGAGAAGGTGGTAGGCTTGCAGGTCCAGAGGAACCTGGAGGAAATAGATTATCTGGACCCTTTTCTGTCGTGTTTCAAACTGGGCTATAGCACTGATACAGCATTAACTGTATTTGTACTTGACCTACAACAGAATTAAGATGGGGGTGATGCATCCACCCTGACCATGCCTGATCTTTTCTTAGCCCTCAATACCATCAATCATGAATTGGGTTAGGGGATTGGGTGTGTGTGTGGGGTACACAGTGCTGTGTGGTTATGTTCCTCCAAGTCAGTTGGTTTAGATGGGGAGAAATGTAGCCCTAGATTTCTGATTTTCAGGTTCCTTTAAAGCTTTACCCGCTCTATGCTTCTATTTAACATGAAACCAGCACATGAAGCCATCCATTAGTAAGAGTGTACGTAACATCAGTATGCTGGTGATATATAACTTTACCATTCTATCCTTGGTGAATCAAATTATGCAAACAAGGTTCTTTCATAATGTCTGTAGACTGGGAAAAGAGTCTGGATGGGAAAATAACAAACTTCAGTTCAATTTAAGCAAGATTGAGTGGCTATAGGTTTTAATGCCTCCACCCCTGCCCCTACATCTATAGATTTTTCATCTTTAGTTATAGGCGGGATTGCATTCTCCCAGACAAAATTAGTTGTCCCACAACTCCAAAAATTGTGGTTGCTCCAACACTGGAGGTTTTTAAGGAGAGGTTGGACAACCATTTGTCTGAAATGGTATAGGATTTCCTGCTTGAACAGGGGTTTTGACTAGAAGACCTCCAAGGTCCCTTCCAACTCTGATAATCTGTTATTCAGTGCACAATTTGAAGGCCCAAATTGGACTTGCACCTCCTGCTTGAAGAGCAGGTTGCAGCTGTGGGTAAAAGGGCCTTTGAACAACCTCATTAACTGTACTCATTCCTTAGTTACCTCTTACTTGATTTCTGACATGGGACTTCCTGTGAAGACCACCCAAATACTATAATTTCTCCAGAATGCAGTGGTATGAATAGTTATGGGTGCACCTTAATGCACCCATGTAACATTCCTGCTTTATGAACTACACTAGCCTTCTATTGGCTTCTGAGTGCAAATTAAGATACTAGTTATCAATTACAATGTTTTATATCATGTTATGGTTTATGTTATCATTTTATATCATGTTATGGTTTATGATTATTAGTTATCTTCCTTTACTTTTCAATCCTATTTTGGCGGCTCAGCTTTATATGTAATGAACTGGGCAGCCAGATAAAACTGTTTAAATAAATAAACAAAACCTTAAACAGCTGAAAAAGTTTGTATCACTAGAACTTATTTTTGAATATCATTCTTCATGTATGTATTACCACAAGTTAAATAACAACAATAACAAATTAAACTTGGATGTTACTTGACTCAACAACTCTGGGTGGCTCACATCATACAGAGAGTATAATAAAATCAATAAAAGATAAAAAAAAAATCTAGATATTATGAAACTGTTATTTTGGTTTTTTACTTTTTTTGCTAGGATACTCTAGCATTCTTGATGACCCTAATGCTGTTAATGTGAATGAACTTATTGTTAACAGCGATTCTACTTGCTATTCTCTTTAAACACATGTTGAAACAACATGTAGTATTTTTTATATTCCCATCATTATAAGCATAGGAATAAAATCTTTATCACAATGACAAAAAAGCTGAAATAACATATAATTGATTATATAAATTGAGGATTACAAAATAAACACAAAGAAAAGGTTTTTAAAATGCCACAGAGAGAGCTAAGCCAAGAGAATCGAAATTGGGCAATTTTTTTGAAAGTTGAAGTACGAGAGATCAAACATACCAAAGTGGGATCAATGTCTTCAATAGCCAGGAGTCTATTATATATGCTGTGTACTTTCTCATATTTCATACGACTCTGCACAAATTTAAAAAGATATTTGATTAGTTTAGGCCCAAAGTGACCAGCATAATAGTGTGACTGTATTTTTATCGAGATTACAATCTCTAAACATAGGGGAGGATTTCATTAAAGTGTGCGAGAATAAAGAAATGTTTTGATTCACCTCTTCATAATCTGCATACGCAAAATAAAGAAGCATGTTCTTTTTTAATAAAGTGCTGATTGCTCTTTCATAAATATTTGCTGCTTCATCACTGAAAAGTTTAGCATTGTTCATATCCTAAAAGAAGATCAAATAATGAAAAGAATGTCAGGCAAAATAATTAAAGAGGATAGGCAGAAAACAATTTTTAGCCTTTTAAACCATGCTCACTGAAAAAATTATACTAGCATTGTAAACTTAATTGGACTACATATCAAAAACAAGCAAACTTGACAGATTTTTAATTGGATATTGGAATTCATCATATATATATATTGGCTGCAAACATTTATGTCATACAAGTAGTCCTTGGGTTACAATCCCTTTTTTTGCAACTGTTCAAAGTTACGATGTACTTACAACAAAGGGCACTTACAACTGGTTCTTCAAGTTTTGGTCATTGCAACACTTCTGCAATCATGTGTTTAAAATTCAGATGCTGTTCTCAGTTCATGAGTATAATCATGTGACAGCCACAGTCACATGATATTAATTTCAAGCAAAATCAATAGCAAAGCCAGCAGATAGTTGAAAATTGCTCCCACATCCACTGCCTTTTTGCTCACCCATGCTCTGGAATTATTGCCCATGGCATCCCCCACCAACCCCCTTGGTATCCATGCATCTGCCTACATCAGACTGCAGCCCACCACCCATGCACTGGAGTATCTATCTGTAGAACCCTCTGCCCCGCCCTAGTGGACCTCCCCTTCAGCACCAGAATGCCCGCTGGCCTGCTTTCCTGGGATTTCTGCCTCTTCTCGCTTAACAACTTGCATGGGTCTGGGATTACAATAGCAAACTGGGACTGCTGAAATTGCAGTCTCACTAAGCGACGTGGTCATGTGACATCACCCTTTAGGATCTCATTATTTAGTGATGGGACTTCCAATTCAATTGCCATTGTAATCAGAAGACTATCTATAATAAATTCACAATATTGGTTATTTTTGTTTCCATACAATTTTTCAATTCTTTAAACCTGGATTAACATATTACGTCAACTTGGTGTTATACTGTATAAAAACAGATCAATTTTAAAATAATTAATAATGTTAATATGAAATAACAATGTGTAATAAAACACATAGATAACACAAAACAATGTGTTATCTATGTCAGTAGTGTGCATGCAGATATTTCAATATTTTTTCTTACTCCTTTTTCAGCTAGCAGTTTGCTGGATTGTTCAAGATATTGTGCAGCTTCGTACCAGATATCCGGATGATGACCCAATACTAAGAGGCATTGTTCATATGCAAACATCACTAGAAGACACAGAGACAATATTTATTTGACATTTTGCAGAACAAATTATTACTTATTTAAATCACAATGTTTCTTCAACTCCTCACTAACCAATTTTGCATTGTCTGATTGAAAAATCACATAATATTGTTCCTCAAGAAGTCTGTGAATTTGACGGCATTCTCACAAATGTACTTGTTTTGTATTTTTAGTAGTATTTTTAACATTTAAAATTGTTGGTCAACCAAGCAACATCATAGTATTTAGCACACAAAGGAATCATTCTTATATCCTTTAATCTAAGCAAAGGTAGATTTATTCTTCTATTCCAAAATTATCAGATTCTGTTTGCAAATGCCACGCAATCCCATCATGGAAGTGATCTGGGCAGTAAGACAAGACTTAGCACACAACACAGCGCTCTAGATTTAGAATCTAGACTCTATCAAAGTATCTGAAAAGCAAAAAAAAATGAACTTACCTCTCTTTGTGATGAGGGTTTGGTCTTCAGTACGCAGAGGGTTACTCTTTTCCCACTGAATGTATTTTTTCCACATGTCTACCTGCTGTGCTTCTTGTGGAGTATTTTGTGGTGGGACAGAGGGAGCATTACGGTCCAAACCTTTCATCACAGTCTCATACTCCTAAAAGATAGGTAGATACTTAAAACAAGACAAATAATTCAATAAATGTGTTTTGTTTTTAATATTTGAAAGTTGTTGTATCGGACACGTATTGCAGTAAAATGTATTCATAAAAAGGAAAACAAAAATCCACCATCATCCATACCTTAGCAACACGTCTAGCATTCATATAATCTCTACTACGATCTTCAATCATTTTTTTGGCTAAGTGGATATTGATTCCCTGAAAGAAGAGAACAAGCTGTTAAACTCTGAATAAACTATATACTTGCAGAGGTTCACTCTTAAGTATTTTATTAAACGAAGTTACATATGGTATATACACAGCTCCCTTTTTATGACCCTCTAATACTTTAATTCAGGGTAGAATCAGGGCGAAAGGATGGAGATCAGAGTTTATTGGCCAGATGCCCATCCTGATGCCATGCAGAGTTCACATCAGATATTTTTTCTTTACACCCCGGGGAAGAGATATTTGCCACTACCTAGGAATGAACTCTCAACCTTCCAAGTGGGAGGCAAGCATCTTCATCACTAGGCCACTAGGCCATATGACATATACAGCATAATTATAACATGAGAATTTAAAAGAAGCATGACCAGAAATGTTCATAATTAAAGAAAACTTTCAAAAATGTTGACTAGACCAGATTTCTTGTAAAAGGATGGTAGATAGGTAGGTAGGTAGGTAGGAGGGAGGTTTCTTTCTTTAGATAAAAAATAAGTTTCAGTTTTCAGTTGTTTAAATAACCAGTCACTGATTGTCAAGGTAAGGTATTCATATTGTTATTATAACTGCTACATAAACAATTCATATTAACTCCATCAACTTCTTTCAACTTTTGGAGATTGAACCTCCGGTGGCGTTTCCATCGAAGACGCACCAGAGACCACGATCGTGCGCGGCTTTGATCCATGCGTCATGGATTGTTGGAGGGGTCCCTAAGAGACTGGAACCATCTGACCTATCTTGTAGGCATGGGGGGGAAAGGGGGTGACCGCCACCTGAATTGAGGGGAGCCACATCTCCCCTCCCTGGCTTGGTATTTATTCCCCTAGAAGACAGGGAGTTTAATGGCTGCCCTGAAGACCGGAAGCTGCCGGGACTTAAGTTTGTGCTGGAGAGTGGAAATGGTGAGCAGTGTGTAACTGGATAAAAAGTCTTTGAATATTCTTTTGATAACCCTGAAAAGCGGAAAGAAAGAGCCCTCGTTTGGAAGAGTGGTAGCGGCGAATGGGAAATAAGAGGAAAATATAAGGTAAAGAAAAAACCAGAAATAAAAGAATTATATGAAATCAAAGATTAAATTTGGAATAACATATAGAATTGGTCATTAATTAGCAATTGGATAAAATGCTGGACTTATTTGAAATGGATAAAATTTAATGTTAATACTACAGAAAAGAGAATTAAAAATAAAAGAACTTTGAAAAGAAAGTGATATAGAGCACCACCTAATGGTTAAAGATTTCCCTCTCTTATGTTTCTATGGAAAATTACTGGTTGTATAAATTTTTGAAAGAGAGAAGAAATGGAATAAAAGATTATTAATACAACAAGAACTTCAGAAGCTTTTTTTAAAAAGTGGGGACTACAGTAAAATATAAAGGAATGCAATATTTTGCGACTGTTGGAGGTTGACTGTGACAAGAAAATAGAAGAAAAAGAAAGTGAGATAAATGGAGATTTTTGGCAAGGACGAAAACAGAATAATTTGACCTTTAATAAAACAAAGAATAATTCAATAGATTAAAGAAATGGAAGAAATAAGCAAAGAATTTAAATCGGAGCTCCTAACTGTGAGAAGTATGTTAAAAGAAAGAATGAGACTGTTGGATATAATGGTTAGTAAAGTAATGGCGTTGCAGCTCACAGAAGAACAAAGAAAGCCCAGAGAGGACGAGTTAAAGGAGGAAAACAACAGCCTAGATGAATATGGAGAACAAGGACCACTGCCAAAGGACATAAAATGATTTAAAATAGAGACAGTGACAACAAATAAAAGAGATAAGGCTCCCAAGACTAAGAAAAAGAAGAAGGAAATATATAAGAAGAAACCTCCAAAAAGAGAACTGAAAAGGGTGGGGGAAAACATGGCTGACAGGCAGAGGGAAATAAAAATAATACTAGATGGAAAAAAGAGGGACCGGGGAAACTTAGAAAAGGAAAAGCTGGCTAAAATTAAAAGAAATGATAAAGCCAAGAGATTTAGAGATAAGGTTTAGGGATAGTATAAGGGGGATACCATATAGGAATGTATATTGGCATTTAGTTTAAAACTTGCTGGGAATTATTTTAGGTTTGTATAACTATAACTATAACTATAACTATATATATATATATATATATATATATAACTGTATACGAATTGTGCTGTTATGAACCCTCTCTTTGGAGGATTAAAAATGGGAATGGAAATGTATTAAAATATATAGATAAACTTTGGCTAAGTGGAAAGGAAGAAAAAACATGATTATTAATGATCATAAGAAAAGTGAAGATAAAATGAGACATATTAAGAAGTTATTTTAGCGATTTTTGGGGGGGATGCTTCAAAATATATATATTTTAAAATATACAGTTGATGACTTAATGGATACTAGAAGTGTATAATGAGAGTATTGTACTATGATTAAAGCAGGGGAATGAAAAATTATTAAATTAAATAGATTGAGGGGATATGCCATGTGGATCCTAAATATATTGGCTTTTATTTTTACTCTTTTTAGATTGTCTATTATACATCGGCCTAGAGAAAATCAAGGATAATAATGATGTGTAATGTAAAATAAAATAGGTGGTAAGCTGAAAATGGAAATAATAGGGGATAAAGAACTGAAAATTTATGTGTGGATGAAATGATATTGATATTGAATTAATGAATTGAAATATGAAATGGAAACTTATTTAAAGATGAGTGAAATGTATAATGATAGATGATACATAAGATTGATGGAAATGAATGCATGATTATGTACAAGTGTTAAATTCGGAATCACATTGCTCATGTGAAGAGATGTGTAAAAATAAAAAACTTTTTGGGAAAAAAAACTTCTTTCAACTTTTAATAGAGGTAATAAAGGCTTGGGAACATCAGTTAATACTTAAAAGTTAATTCTTATAAAATCTTAGAAAAGTAATTTCAGAAGTAATTCTGAATTTATTGTGATTAAAGTAGATAATAAATATTTAAATCCAATAAACTTTGAACAAACATTAGAAGTCAATCAAATTCAGATTTGAATGTTACCAAAAATTAAAATTACCTGTTTATGTTGTGAAAAAGGTTGTTCCCCAAAACATTAATTAGCTATTCTTGAGTTAGGATTATCACAGAATATATACCTTGTGGCCAAAAGTATCAAAAACCAATGTTCTCCATATGTAAATTTTGCACCATTGAGATCAGGTACAAAATCCATAGTCAAACAAGGATCTCAGAGATTTCAGAGGGATAGGACTTATTTTCTGATGAATATGAAAGCATTTGTGAAGTTAACTCAGCTTTACCAAATAATGTGTTAGCTTTCAAATTCTATAGATTGTTTATGATTTGAGGTGATAAACAAAGCAACAAAGAGGGAAAGGAATATAAATGGCTGGTCTTGAATGCAGAAGACTGATTTTAATTTTGAACAATATGAGGCGAGTCTATTCACCTTGCCCTATCAGAAAAAGCTCCCACTGCAGAGGAAGAAAATAGTTGTGTTAAAGTCACTCGAGTTGCAATGCTAGCATCTTTTCATTTACCTCTTCATACTTGTTATAATCTCGCCAAAGCTGTTCAATGTTGATCATGGGGTTCACACAGCCGCGCTGATAAACCCTGCGGACAGCAGTTATCCTCTGGTTTTCTGCATAGGACCCTACTGCTTCACTAAATAGTGAGGCGAGACAGTAATATGTCAGCAATTACACTTTGCAACCTGTATGAATAGCAACATCACATTAATTAACACAAAAGAAAAAACTATTGTACTTACACGCCTTTCAAAAAATTGATGTAATCCACCCAGATCTATATAAAAAGCAGTCAAAGTTTAGTTTGTCATAACTGTTCAATATTTAACAAAAATATTTCCAAAAAATATATAGAAACCTACCTGATATGACATTATTTCCATGCCAATTTTATCTAGAGCAAAATCATATGCTTGAGCCATTTTTTCTCTGTAAAAAATACACAGAAAATACACAATTAAATTTGCATGAAAAAATATTTACTATATTCAATTACTTTAAACAAGCAGGTTTATAATACATAAAAATACTATTCCAAGCTTTTCATAGGGCACAGTTTAACATGCTTCAAGAGGATCTATATTTTGGGAAGAATTCCCTGATCAAGGAACTTACATGTTGCATTTTAAAAGGATTTTTTAAAAGCAGACTGAGATTTGAACTTCTTTGGGAAATAACACTGCTTTTAGGGTTTGCAAAGAGCTGAAATAAAGCAGCTTTAATAATGTTAAGACATTTTGCTGTTTATTAGCAACCTTACTCTGGAATTACATTACTGTACAGTCATATAATTGAAAATACTGGGAGTTCTTGTTCAGTTCACAATTAAGACAGGCAACTCAGTTATTAAGCAAAACAATTGCTAAGTGAATTTGTGACTTTGCTTCCAATCTTATTTCAGCTTTCATTTCCTTTACAGTTTTAGGAAGGTCATAAAAGCAAGAACTGATTACAAAGCATCATCAATTAAACTGTGAACAGTATTAAACAAGGCAGTCACCAAAAGACGACCTGTTCTAAAAAGTAAGGTGAAATAAGATTTTAAAAGTAACTATGAAAATGGTTACACTTCAAACAACTTTCAGGTTAACTAACTCCAAACTGCTTTAAACTGATGGCTGTCTGGACATTTGATTCTCCAAAGAGCAGGAAGCTTGAAAGAGTAGTTTGGAATGAGATAGATGCTCATAGGCTAGCTATAATGATGCACAACTATTTGGCACAGTTTAAACCACTAAATCAAGAAAATTAACTTTGTGGTATCCTTATACCAGAGGCACCACTGAGCAACAGGGTAGTTCCAAGGTTATTGTTGCTTCTACCTAAACTAAAAAGTAAAAGCAGGAAGTGAGAAAGAGAGGGAAGAGGGAAGTACCAGTCCTGGATCAGCAGTGTTATACCAATACACTCACCAATACACAAGTAATCTTCCTACAGTTTGTGCTGAGTCATCAATTTGTGCCATGGTATGTCCATGTGAGGAATTGACCCTGGCAGTTATCTATTTCTTCCTTTAAATCACAGGCCTAGAAGAAGTAGTCAATAAATCATTTCAACTTACTTATAACTGGGTAGCTTCCCTTTTGTTTCTCGCACATATGAAAGGTAGCACTTCCACAAGTCAATGTGTAAGACTTTCATAAGGCATCGCTGAAATAGCTATTTATATTGAGAGGAAAAAGAAATAGGAGTCCATCAGCAGGTCAGGGTAGATTATTTTAATTTCGGAAATTTGAACAAACTTCCTCAATTATGAATTAAAATACAATGATCACACTCTACATTTTTAAAAAGAAACTTCAGCAAAGCTTCATGAATTTCATGAATTTTAACCAGTGTTAAAATAATAAAGCTGTAAACTGCAGCAATTTGAAAGAAAAGCTTGACAGTATCCAGCACTGGAGCCTTACATGTTTTGATTTTCTTAATATAAATTTGACTGACACTTCATACACTTTAAAGCAGCAGAGGGATTTCACAGAACATATGTACTTCGTTACTCAGATGCTGTAGTGGAATATAAGGTTATCTTTGAAGGAGGGCCAGGAACTCGATACTAATTTAGAGCACAACTGCATATTTATTGAATACATTTTTCTAAGGAAACCATGTATGTCTCATCGTCCAGGTCTCTAATGTCCCCAAATGAACCATGACATAGTTTAAGACTCTTCCATCAGTAGTTTTTTGAGGAGAAATACAAAGGCATCCCATTCAAGTCCAAATTTTGTAGTGAAAGAGGCATTGAAATCAACATGTTTTATGACATTGTTCATTTTATGCCAAAACTCGAGTTGTTAAGCCCAAACTTAATTAAATATCTTGGTCAAATTGTTCAATTATATTTAAAACATTTCCTTTTTTAACTTTTTCAAATGAGTCTATTTAAGCAAGGTGAGTAGCATCTGTTTGATCTGTTTTGCTAATTTGCTAATCAGTATTATGTTTTGCTGATTTGCTAATCAGTATTATCTATATGTGTACAATGTGTTTTATGTAGAGATCATTAGCCACAATAAAGATTATTGTCTTGTCTAGCAAGGTTTGGGTAATACGAAGGTCAAAACAAATATTTTATCAGGTTCAGTCAGTTTATAGGCCCAATTCAAAAATTTTCTGTCTTTGCAAGCCTAATTCACATTCCTCTCTAAACTGTAAGGTTTTAGATGAAGTAGATATGCAGGGCTTTCTCAATGCTATACCCTCTTATATTTAAATATATATTTTCACTTGTCCAAGTGAAAAAGTGAGGAAAAACAGAAATGTGTGATATTTGTGGAAAGACATTAAAAGCATGATAAGCCCAATCTAACTGGAGCCTATCTGATTTTCTCTGCCAGGTAAGTCTTGTATTTAACTTTGTATAGGTAACAGTTTTAATATTTTAAAGCATGTTGTATTAATGTTAATTTTTATATTTATTATGAGCAATGAACATAATAGACTAAGCACATTGTAGTTTTCCTGTGAATAACTAAAAAGCTATTTGCTACTGCCTTCCTTTGTGATTTCTTTTTTAAACTTTCCAGTGTAGCCTATTTCCTTGGGATTGTCTGGTGTTAAAATGCTAAAATATGCCCAATCTTATTTTGCTTGCATGTTAATTAGAAAAGATATACAAAACATCTTTTTATGAATTGTTAAGCCATTTTTCCAATTTAGGCAGCTGCTTCCAACGTGCATAGGAAATACATGAAGTCAAGTGGGTGAACATGAATATTTTGAAGCAGCTCCAAGCAGTTGAAGAAAACATGGTTGTTTTGATGTTTGAAGTGGAGAGCTTCTTCTATTGTACTTTCACATAACAGTTGTCAATTAATGTTTTTAAGCCTTTGAGCCAGTGTTGATCCAGGCAACTACCTGGACAAGTCTGTAATTTTCTCAGCCAGATTTTGGAAATGCTTTCTAATTGCCACCAAGGCTGAGAGACAGTAATTGGTCCAAAGTCACCCAGCTAAGATGGGACCAGAACTCAAAGTCTCCTGGTCTGAGGCCTTAATCAGTTCATCAAACTGTCTCTCTAACAGTTACTATTATACACAAATTGATACAAACAATTGTAGAGGCCACTCTAAGCTCTATTGTCTACTGCTTTTATGTGTCAACCATCATTTCTTCTTCCCAAGTCTTTGGGTTCTTCATGTTAATAACATATGGTGAAAAAATGTTTCCATAACTATCTTGATTATTTAACAAGTTGTCCCAGAAGTGCCATAAGGCAAAAAGTATAGTAGTGGTTCATACTAGAATGTGACCTTCAAAGATAACAACTTTGATACAGAAAGATCATTTGTGAGAGCAGGAACACATATATAGCTGGAGTGATTTGCATAATCTTTGATCAAACAAGAATGTTTTGTATGCATTATTTATGGAAATCATAAATAACGTGTGGAAGTACTGATTCTCATACATACAAGGACCAACAAGTTTAATGACCACCCACTCATTCCTGAGGGTCTCATTATGTCTATACCATATCACATTGCTAAATATCTCTATGAATACCTTAAACACCTTCCTGTGTTTCCCACTTTTATACATTTTGTATAACCAACTGCCATATGGAACATTTCATTCATGATCTCTCAAAAAAGTTAGGACATTTTAGCTCAAGGTAGGCACATATTCTCACATTAGAGAAGATACATATTCTAATTGTTTACTTATTTGATTTTTTAAAATTAATGTATATATTGAAGCTTACCTTTTCTACTTTGTCATAATTTTTTGCTTTTATCTGAAAAACAAAACAAAACCCTCAAATAATTAGATCAGCCTTTCATTAAATATGAAAAAAACTATTTATTACTTGGAATAGATTTGGCTTTTTTTTAAAAAATTAAACTGCAAAATAATTGACAAGTTAATGAAGGGTTTTGAAAAAGCTAGTATTACTTTCAGTTAGATGAGGATATATTGTGAGAAAATATATACTGTGAAATATTTCAGTCACATTAAGATTTGCTCAAGAATGTGTTATCCTCCTGATAATCAAGCATAAATAACACTAATGTTATTGTTAGTTAATAATTAATATTAACTAATCACATAGTGTATTAATATGGAAGGCAATTTTAGAACTCGTTTCACAGTAGGTTATAAGAGTTTATATTCAGATAGCTAGCATAGAAGACAATAATCCTTTATTAGTTTAAATTCTAATATAAATTTAAGAACAAATATATGTTGTTTTATAACTATTTAGTGACTTTCCAATAGCTGATTAAGATGTTCATTATAGCTGATACTACAGATGTCAAACCAGCTTCTGATGTTCAATAATAATATAATAACTATCATACAAAACTTCATGAAACTGAGATCCCTTCAGTATTTCAGGACATGGAAACAGCTATCCCACACTCCCACCAAAGAGCTGCTGAGTTACATTAATCTAACATACAAACATCAGAAACATCAGAAACGTCTCTGCCTTGTAATATTCAAAAGGCTCAAATATTTTTTTGGAATACACACTTTAGTAATTTGTTTCAATGTATTGATAAAATGTAGCTAATAACTCTCCATACAGTATTCGATTTCAAAGTTAAAATTAAAGTTAAAAGCAAAGGCCATGGGGGGGGGGGCGGGGGGAGGAGGTTCAATTCAAACTAAAAGTAGCAAGGCTTTGGAAACCACTTTGGAATTTAATAATAGGATGTCCAATAAGGATATATTTTGGGGTTCTGCAGTATTAGTTGTAGTATGAACCAAGTAGTGAAGAAATCAATGCAAATACTTCAGGGGGTTGCATCATTGTAAAGGAATGTGAAAACCTAGGAACTTGTGCATTTTTAAAATTCTAGGCAGCATTTTAATCATTAAAGACTAAGCTATGAGGAGGAAACTTAAAAATAGCATCACTTCTAGTATCTTTAAACTGTATTGCTGGAGTGAATATTAAATGTCTAAAAAGACAAGTGAAACAGCAGAAGCTGATGAAATGGAAAGGTGTCTCTGTGAAGGAACGGAATAACCTTAATGATGCTGCCACTGGGGAAGGTTCAGAGTGTAGGAAGGCAAGGCAGACTGCTGATTCTTTCAGTCAAGCCTGCAATCGCTCCCTAGGATTGCAGAGAGGGCTTTCTTAGTGTTGCAAGGAGGTGCTGGAATACCTGGGACCTTCTGCATGCAAAATCTCATGTTCTACAGCTGAGGATTCACTGGCAATTAAACAGCAAGGTAAATAATTACCTGCCCTAGCATTTAAACCAGCATGATACTCCACATCATCTGCAGGCATTTAAAAATAAACCATGTTTAAACTTAAAAGTTTATAAAGCTGAGAATGCACCACGGTGAACACATTCTTTCACTCATCAGTGTAAATAAATAGAAATAATACTTAATATCAAGAAAATGCAATTCCTCTGCAAACACTACCTGCTTATTTACGCTCTAAATCAGTCATGTCCAACCCAGTCTATGAGCTGCATGCAGCTCTGGGCAGCTAATGATACTGCACAAGGTTGTAAACATTTAACATTATTATGTAATTTATATAAATATTAACAATATTATATATTTTATATGTAGCTCAGGACAGTTCCTCTTCACTCAACACAGCTCAGGCAAGCCAAAAAGATTGGTCTCCTATGCTCTAAATTATCCTGAGCAATTTCTCAATTGGCTACCCTCATGATACGTTGGAAAGCCACACTCCTTTCGGGGAGATTATGGAAATTGTAATACAACAGATCTTTAGGCACCAAATTTAAAAAATGCTCTGAATTCAAAATGGTTACTTGTAAAAAATGATGTATGGACAGGACATCTCACAGAATATTTTCTTTGCACTGACTGGCATGAATGCTAATTGTGTAAAAAATTATCAATATTCTTTCAAAAGAAGTGAAGAACTCTGTAGTAGAATATTTCCTTTTTTATGCTACCTTTTCATAATCTGTAAGTTTTTACTGTTTTAAATTTATACATCCACAATTACGATTCTCTGTGATTTTTAATTCATTGTGGTGCAGTGATTAGAATGTAGTACTGCCGGCTACTTCTGCTGCCTGTCGGCTGCCTGCAATTTCGCAGTTCAAATCTCACCAGGCTCAAAGTTGACTCAGCCTTCCATCTTTCCGAGGTGGATAAAATGAGGACCCAGATTGTTGGGGGCAATATGCCGACTCTGAAAACCACTTAGAGAGGTCAGTGAAGGACTGTGAAGCGGTATATAAATCTAAGTGCTATTGCTATATCAGAATTTTTTTTCATAATTTTAGCTTTGTCATTTTTTTGATTTAATTTGTACTCTAAAATTTGTAAATTATATAGGTTAGTGATATTTTAAATGAAATTAAATGTATTCTCTTTATTCCTGATATTACTTGTACTACCTATCTTATTAGTGTTATTAGTTTAAAATTCAGTAAAAGTAACAGGCTTTTACATATACACAATTCCTTTTCAATTCAAAATAATGGCTTGGTATGTAGAGCTTGAATTTTCTGTATCTCTTTATCTAATTATCACCTCTATTTTTGCATCCCAGATTTGTAAAATAGTAATTAAAACACATGATAATGTGTCCTTTATCATCTAAAACAGTTGTCCCCCACCATTGCAACTTGGTGGCCTGGTTGGAGGGATACTACAAGTTGAACTGCATGTGCATGCACACTGGCCCATTGCTTGGGTGAGTTGAGCTGCATACGTATGAGCGCACCAGCCTGCCTGTTGCATGGCTCATTCTGAATAGGCCACAGCCCAGTAGTGGGCCGCAGCCTGGGGGTTTGACACCCCTGATCTAGAATGTCAATGAATGTATTCAGAAATTGGAAATAAGGCTTGCTGGGGCTTTTTTTTTTTTTTTTTGAAGTATGGATTGTTTTCTACTTTAATTTTCTTATGATTTCAAACAAGATGTATTATGCCTGTGAATTAGCAACTAAGAAATTCCTACTCCCTGCCCAAATCTATTCAGTTCAATCAAACTTTATTACTCCCCCTTAGTACAATAAAACAGGAATCTTAAATTACAATTGATTTTTTTGAAAATTAGTAAATTAGTAGTAGTAAAATGGGAAATTATGGTTAAAAGCTTCCTAATTTTTGAATTTTTAAATCTACAAATTTGACAGCATTGGGTGAGTTTTCTTGAATACTTAAGCAAAATACATTTTAACAATAAGTTCAAGATTTTTTCAAAATAAATAGTAAAGGATAATTAAAACTTTGATTTTAGAATGTTACAGACTGAGACATATAATATTTCAAATAAGATTCTGGAATTAATTAACAAGAATTCTTCCTGTGGGAAAATGGCTTGATTTGAAACATGGTCTTATTTTATAGAGTCGGTTGAAAAGATGTTATGGAAGAGGAACAAGCATGAGGAACAAGAAAGTGGGTTTAAAATGGATTTCTTCTAGAATGATATTGAAAAAGATATTACATTGGATATATCAAAGAAACTGGCTGATGTCTTATTTATTGAAAGAGATATACAAATAACAAACCAAGAGAGTGATTTGATTTCCTAAATTGGATTTACAGAAAAGGTTTTGTGAAGCTTTGGAGAATTTTGTGACAAGGGAAAAATAAAAAATGGGGGGGGGGATTCTAATTTTAGGACATTACTAGAAAGAACTAAAGATCAAGAATCTTAGAAGGAAGAAATATAAAGTTGTTTATTTCATCAAAGTTAAAATAGATATGCTATTATCTCTGGTAACCCTCAGTGGACTTTTGTGGAAAACAGGATTGAAATGAGATGCTGTATGATTTTGTTTATAAATAAAAGACAGGATTTGGGAATAACATTTGTTGTATTTTAAGGGTTACTAAAATTGTCTATTTTTATTGTGATGAACATGGGAAATCATTTTTTTCTTTATATTTTTCTTTTCTATTTTCCGTTACATTTTCCTTTTTTTTCCTTTTTGCATCTTCTACTTTTTCTATTGCTTTTTTCAATTTGTATTAATTTTTATTGTTGAAATTATAATCTTTGATAAAATTACTATGAAAAACAAAGTTCTTTTGATTGCAAGATTCTGAGGGCCTTACTGCTTTATCATTTTTATTTTATTTTAATCCTGAAAACCAAGTGTTTGTTTTTGTTTTGTTAACCAGTGACTCATATTAAAATTGTGTCTGCATTAAAATTGTGTCTACACTGAAATAAGGTAGTAAGATGTGTATTTGTAATAAAGCTGTTCCTTAATATCATGTATCTAGACAATAGCTAACTAAGAATAGTAATTGCAGGTTCTTACCCCATTATTAGCATCCCATTATTCATTTCTATATGCTACTAGCCAAGTACTATTTGCTTTCTACCATTTGCTAAATAGGGCTTAAATCTGAACACTGGATATTCTGTTATTTTTCTTGCTTTGTGCCAGGACAGCATGTAGTTTTATGTTCAGAGTTCATCTGAACACAGCAAAATAATGAAAGAATGTGGAAATAAAATTTATAATCTTCCTGCCCAGAAGCCAGCCAAAAAAGCCCATCAAGAATAATGGGCATATGTCTGTGGAATGTTGCAACAAATTATAAAACGGACCTGTCCAACTTAGTCATATGACCATCAGGGAGTAGGGGGAAACACAACCATACACAACAGCTGGGGGTGTTTTATATTCTGTAAACCACCTGTTTTGTGGCTGTTGTAACTTTGAGCAGCCATAAAGCAACCAGTCAAGAAAGGACTACATGTACTGAACTTTTTTTCTCCCAGTTAAAGTCAAAAGTTATAAATTGTTAGACCTACTTTATATGCCTTTG